TGGGTTGGTTGGTTGATTGGGGGTTGGATTGTTGTAGGGAGGTCGGTTTTGATGCTAGCTGTTGTTGTGCTGGAGCAGCTATAGTGGGGGAGGAATGTAGGTCGGTTTTATAGGCAGGCTGGGGTTCTTTGTTTGTGCTGCGATGGTGAGAATGTCTTTGTTGGAATTCATGGTGTTGATGCTACGACAAAGCCATTGTTACTCAACCGTTCATGATAGCCGGGAGGCATAAAGCATTGGGGGCTGACACTTGTGAAAACTTACAGGACAGTTCTATTATGCCTCAAGTCAGCTGAGGTGTATGGAACAATCGACCAGGAAAGGTATCCAGAGTTGACGTCCTTTGACGCTCAGGTGGACGGGCAATTCTTCTCGTCAGACCAGACCATGTTCGCCAGCCTACAAGGCTCTTACTCGCATGCAGTCAACAGAAGGAACTAAGGCCAATTTGCATTACCTAAACCTTAGACCTGAAGGGGTAGTGTTAAAGAGCATACACCGATGCTACTAAGAGACATCTAACCACCCATGGTAAACCCATTCATAGCCTTCTTGACCGGCGATGTCTCCAGCATCCAGTTCCCATCTCCCACTTCCCTCGCGATTCCACCTTTCTTGGCAGCTCTCATCACCTTCTCCCCGGCCACCGTTCTCTCCCCCGTAAGCCAGTCCCAGACATACCCTTCCTTCAACCACATCCAAGTTAGGTAGGCTCGTAGCTCTTTATCTTGAGGCAACACCTTCTTCCACTCGGGCATAAACTCTACCTCCTCCGCAGTATCACCTGCTGCGCTTCCACTTCCCACACTAACATTCCCATTTGGGTCCGCACCTTCAGCAACAGTACTTGATCCAGTCGTTGTCATCGCTCTACCAACGCCCCTCAATTCATCTCGACAAAAGATCCTCCAACTATCCAAGGAATAAGCACCTACACCAGGAAGATGCGCGATTTCCCACGCCACACGTTCATCCTCATCACCTAAACACTCATCACGGCGGACGTCACGACCGTCGTTCAGGTTCGGATAGTGGAGTTTACGGTACCGACATCCACGGGCAGGAGGCCGAGCAAGCCAAGTCTGTGCGAGGGCAATACATTTCTTAGCGCGTTGGTGTTGGAAGCCGAGACAACGGATTAGCTCGGTCAGCTCGGTCGGGTCTGCAGTCGCAAAGGCCGAGATGGAGGGGTATATGTCAAAAACGCGGAAGAGGACGGGGAGGGCGACATGACCGCGGGTACGATTAAGAAATATGGTAGCAATGAGGAGGCGAAAGGGATCGTGAGCGAGCTGTTCCTGGACCAGACCGAATGTCGGGGCGGAGATAGGCTGGAATGGGAGACAAGAGGACGGATCAATCAAAGGTTGGGGAAAGAAGCGAGATATTCTTGGTGCTTGAGATAATCGCGGTGGTCGGGAGGTAAGGGTGGGTCCATTATCATCATTCATAGTCGCATCGACTGAGGTTTCGGGCTCAGAGAAAGCAGATACGTTTGTTACTGGCGGAATTGAGGATGACGCAGGCGGCGGTGTCGAAGGATACGAGTCAGGGAGGTCACTCGGAGCATCGCTCAGCTCGGAGCAATCAGACAAAATTAGGTCAGAAGGTAAAGCAGCGGTAGAACCACGGATTGAGCCAGTCTTGGTGGCTGGTTGCCCTACACTGAAGAATATGGACCGTACCTCATCGCTGGTGGTTGGACTTTGCGATTCATCGGTGTCGAAAAATCCGAATGTTCTGCACGAGTAGACCTCTTGGCTGGTCGACCTTTCGCTTTCCCATTCTTCGGAAGTCTTGGTGATCTGTTCGGGTTCGCCCGTCTTGTTCCCGCCTGCTTCGCTTTGAGCAAGCCTTGATGCCGGATCTGAGCTTGAATATCCGAGATTTGCCCTTCAAGTTCGGCTAGGTTAGACCCTTTGGTCATCGCAGGCGTTCCGGGCTTGTCAAGATTGGGATCTTTTGCCTTGTTGGCATGTTTACCTTTCTCGGGCTTTGTCAAATCAATAAGCTCGGCGGTATCATGGATGTTCGAATGTCCCTTTGCTAAGCCGACCTTCTTAAGGTTGCCGCGTTTCTCAGATTCCCTTGCTTGCGCAGGTCTTGCAGTGACTTTTGAACCTCCGGCCTTGTGGGTGCCGCTGGACTGTTTCGAGTTCAAGGATCTGGCAATCTGGATTGGCTGCTGATTTGTAGACTGCTTGGGTATGACACTCTCGCTGGCGTTCTTCGATTGCATTGAATTGGCAGGAATGATGGTTTTCTTGAGCTGTTGGGCCGTACCAACCATTCTGGGATTTCGCTTTGGCTCGGCGGTCAACTGTCCGACACATTCGATGCCATCATCTGCAAGTTTGTAGGCCTTCTTGCTCTGCAGAGATTTTGTCTTTCCTGAGCTCGTTGCCTTCTCCTTTGCCACCTTCTCCGACTGCTTCTTCTGAGGTTGCACATCTCTAAAAAGCTGCACGGATGGCGTTGAAGCTCGATCCGAAGAGGTATGGCCTTCAGACGAGGAGCGTGTCTTCCTTCTTTTAGACTTCTCGGAATGACTTGCATTGCCTGGCTGGTCCTTGGAAGGCAGAGGGCTCTCGCTTTGCTTCCGTTTCTTTCCACCGTAAGATGAGTCATTGACAGGCAACTTCAACTTCTTTGTTGATTTCTCTTCAAGGCCCTTACCGCTCGGCCGTTCTTTCTGGTCGATCTGTTCGGTGCCCATTTTGGGAGACTTGCTTGTGGTCGGGTATGCTACTGCTAGGTCAACATCAATTGGTGTTGCCATAATCTTCCCATTGGGCGATGCAGGGCCTGCTTTATCAAGCGACGTTGCGGAGCCTTTCCCTGACTCATCTGCTGACGCAAAGTCCAACCTCTGAAGTGATTCAGACACTGACGCTTCCATGTCTTTTGGTTTCGGTTCTTCCTGTCTGGTCCCAGCAATCACGTCCTCTCCCTGGTCATCTGCAAGATTGGCATCTGGAAGTGACTCAACGGACTTACGTCCCGATGCCGCTTGCTGGTTCTCGCTCGTCACAGATGATGGGTGCTTTGGGCTGGCCGAACCTCTCTCTGGTCCACGATCAGAGTCTAGCTTGGATCCTGATTCCGGGTTCACCTTTGAGTCATTGCCCTTGTTCTCACCCCACTGAAGCAGATAGACCCCTCTTAAAGCCCTCATCATCCGTTCAAATTCATCCTCCGTCATCCCGATTTCCACCGCCTTCTGCGAGGCATAATCGACGAATGCACGTTTCTCCGATCTCTTCACTGGATAAATGCCTTTGCGCATGAAGTCGCTCGTACACAGTGCGAAACCAAGCTCCCTCACCTGCGGCCGGCTCACGGATGGAAACTGGTCGTAATCTTCCTCCCACTCAGAGTCGAATTCGAACTCGCTAGTATCGTCATACGCATCTTGGCTCCCCGTGTTCTCGCGCGCAGTAGAGTAGGATCCGGGCTCCGGTGAAAGTGACGGTGAAGGTGACTTGAGAAGGTCTATGGATTCAATATCGGCGTGTAGGTGGTGCTGCTCGGGACTATCAGGGGGCAAAATGGCGGGCTCCGCACTTGAGTTAGATTTCAATTCGGGTCGAGATTGTGCTACAGAATTGAACCCAAGTTCAGAGCTCACCGCAGATCCTGACTCGGACGTGTAGTCATCTCCCGAGTCAGAGTCTGGCCCATGATAAGGTATGATCCGCTTGCCCAGCGCCCAGTTTGGTGAGCTAAGCTGCCGCGTTGTCGGCGACTGTCGCTGCGTCCAATGCGACCAGTCGGGGCCACGACTGTAGTCCGGGGTATGACTGTAGTCGTCGAACCGCGAGGAATGTTGGCTGACTTCATCGGAAAGGATGTCATCCACGGTTTTTTCGTGAAGAGCGTAGAGAAGGTCAGACGCACAATAGGCCATGTCCTTAACTATTGCACTGTCCTTCGTGTCAGTGTGGGGGGTCCCTTCGGTCACATTATTGCTGGTGGTTGCGTTGGTGTAGGATCGGTGGGGAGAGGAGGTGAGAGGTTCGGCGAATTCGACGCGTTTGGTTTTTGGGGTAGAGGAGACAGACATCGTCATCGTGAGTACGTTGCGCTTGCTTGTGTTGACGGAGTTGTGTAGCGAGAGGCGGAATGGTAGCTGGTAATGGAAGGTTGGTAAGGTAGGAAAGTGCGGTTATGAAAGTCAAGGTGTAGTGTTAAGCGTCAGGTAGAGAGGTTGAAGGAGAAAGGCACAAATCTGGTATTAATGAGGTGTGAGCAGGTCAGTAAGCGTGTACCTTGAGCTGAGAATCTCTCACTTACAATTAACACAGATTAGTGAATTCACCAAGACTGGAAGACCAGGAAGTGTTACTAGCCAGGGGAGTTCGAAGCGGAGAAGTCCCAAAGCAACCTAGGACGCTTTTGTAACCAAGAACCAAAAGTCATCTTCATAGTCCCCGGGGAAAGGAGAGTTGTTCAGAGCCTGCATGCAAACCCCTAGAACGTGCGACAAGTGAGGCCGGGGGTGGCAGTCACCGCGGAGAGTTGGAAGGAAGCGGATGCGCCGACGCGGAAGATCAGTAGATTGATCTAATCCAGGCACGCGCATGTGATCGGCCTGTAACAGCCATCGCTTCCTACCTTCGGAGGTGATAGATCATAGATATTAGAATGATTAGTAGCAAAGAGAGTCATTGACCAAGATACAACTCAGGTGAATCTACTCCTCTAATTTGATACACTCCTTATCTATGGATGCCTTGTCATTGCCATTATGAGTTTCTACCGCCATACACAGGCGCGGGCAGGAGTCCTTTTCTGCCACCGCCCAAATTGAACAGTTTCGGGAGCCGATTTTTCTGGACTGTTACTTCTTAAGTCCGCTTAATTCCGTGGTTTTTGTTGCGAGGTCGCAAGCGTTCTGCCCAGTCGGGCGGTCTAGAGGGCGGTCAAAAGCCACTTTTGCTTTATGCATCACAAGAGACGGACGCTATAGTGTCTTGGAAAAGCATTCATTCCACAATTATTGCATATGGTGCAATTGATTTGGTTTGCTCTTTTTATTCCACCTAGAGCTCTATGCGGCTCGCTAACTTCGCACTTCTCTGAAAATATCCCGACACCCTAAAGGCCCGAACGAGCTTAGAAAACAAATCGAAGTCACATCTCGGAATCCCACCCGAATCCACAGAGTATCCCTGGAGAAGTGATCAATGCTGTTTCGCAAAGTTCAATATCATCAGTCGTGATATCATACTCTTGTTCAACCGCTGAAACGCGCGGCCCATTCAAAGAGTTTCTACTCCGAGAGCACAATGTCCTGTTCGAGCGGCGGATTTGGTGCCCTTCCAAAAACACTTTCGAACTCCAGAACAAGTGGTCTTCCTTGTACTGTTGGAGAGTCAATTCCCTGAGTGCGGATTGTAACTGTCGACAGTTTACTAGCCATCCACACTGGGCCAGCAACACTGCGCGAGTGCAAACGCGTGTTAGGGTAGTCCCACCGCATGGGCACATGCTGCTCGACTATGACCTCCTTGGTTTCCCGGTTGACCTCAATGAGAATAACAAACTTCACTTCGCCAGCAGAGTGGGCAGCCCACCACGCGGCAGCGGCTCGGAGTCGCAGCATCGAGTCCGAGGATCGTATTGCCGCTTCAATCGCCCAGGTTGGCCATTGGCGTGATGATCGGCTACGGAAGTTCGTGAATGAAGAGTCAGCCTCCTTTGCCGAACCCGTAGGCCCCCAGAATGTTGTGGCACCAAGGGGGCAGGACTCTTCGAAATCCAGGCCCATCCTGTCCGAGGCACGTACGACGATGTTACCGAAGCTGATGTGGGCCGCTTCAGTCTCTCTTGCGGGGATTTTGACGATCAGGGTTTCAATATCGCGCAAGTAGTTCAGGCGAACGTGGCTGCTCAGTCCTTCCTCCCGTTCCACAATATGGTGGAATTGCTGGGGTGACACATCCTTGAACGAGAGGTATTGACTGGCGCCTTCGACTTCCTCATACAACTGGTCGCGTCGAGCCACGATGAGCTTGTTCAGGTCTTTCACGCCTTTGTAAGTGGTTGGGGGGAATCGGTCGATGAGTGCAAGCCGTGACGATGAGACCCCGAGTGAGGAGTTAGGTACGGATGCCATTGTTGCCTACGGGATTATAGAGCGCGGTCGCGACAGCACAGAAAAATAGTTCTCTGTCTAGATTGGGCGTTAGGGATAGATTTGAGAGTAACTTGGATACACAAAGCCCGGTTACCTTCTCCGGGATGACTGTTCCCTTACGTTGCGATGGAACCACGGACTGCCTGTTCACAATCTCATATTTCATGCGCGACGCGACTACGTATTGCTAGTTCTCGGGGCGTAGAAACATGACCACGGTTGTACCGTTCAGGCAGAAGGACAGTTCGTACATCTGCTCAATTGACCAGCCGGTGTTTGAGTACGGTTATCGGGACGAGAGCTGCTTTTAGGTGTTTCTGGAGCCGTGTGTTTGGGGTTCGATACAGAGAACCGCAGAGTTGGTGCGGCTAAGACGCAAGGATTCAGGAACGACATTTCTGTTTGATTTTTATGTTTGAGGGTGTACTTTCGTTATAATCTTTGCCATTCATATAAGCTGTAAGGTGTTCAGTTGACCATCCTGCTGCGCGCGAGCTCAATGCGTCGCTCGGCAATCTTTTACAATGCGCCTGTTCTGGAAACATGCGGCAATCTGCGGGAAAGGACGGTTGTCGGTTGGGAGAAAGAGATCGCGGAAGACTTCCGCCCGGGAAGCTCCCCAGTTCAACAGGCCACCCTCTGAAGTAATGACTTTGCGATGCTTAGAACTATGAAGTGTTCTGAGCATGAGGCCATCCCTGGAGGTTGATGCTTCTCACTGGGATTAGAGGAGCATTCGCTGGGATTGTCATCTCACACTCTTTCATGCACTTTGCAGTCAGCGGAATGGGGCCGCACTGGGTCTTCCCCGCCAAAAGCAATTCCGCGAGTTTCCCCCGCAAAGCGACTCCGCAGTCCCGCGATTGTCGCGTTCCACCATTATATCATCCGGCATGTGAGCTGGAGGGGCAGCTCTTTTAACCCATTAATCCTAAACATTGCTACGCATGTTTTATCTTTGATCTCTGATCTCTGAACTTTGCCTTTCTGTATAATCTCCGTATCACCCCTCGTTCACATCCTCATAACGTATCCTACCTTCAAATCACTCAACAATATGCCAGTGACAAAATTCTCCCATCCCGATCCGTATTGCTACCAGACGGGCTTCGACTCTTACCATGAGTACGGTCTTTCTCACCCGGTCATCTGGCGGACTGACTGACGGCTCTCCCCTCATAGGACCGAAGCTGTCGAAGGCGCTCTTCCAGTAGGACAGAATTCCCCTCAGAAAGCCCCCTATGGCTTGTACGCAGAGAAGCTGTCCGGTACAGCTTTCACCGCCCCCAGACACGAGAACAGACAAACATGGGTCTATCGCATTCTCCCCGCGGCTGCCCACCAGAATTTTGTCGCCGAGGAAGAGGATTCTTATCACACTCGCATGACCACTGAAACACACCAGCTCCACCACATTCCTAACCAACTGCGATGGGATCCTTTCGATCTAGATGAGACTGTCGATTGGGTCCACGGTCTGCACCTTGTTGCTGGAGCCGGTGACCCCACCTTGAAACATGGTCTGGGGATTATTCTTTATGCGGCGGGCAAGGACATGGGGAAGGAAGCTTTCTATTCGGCTGACGGCGACTTTCTGATCGTGCCTCAGCACGGCGTGCTGGACATTCAGACTGAATTGGGGCGACTGGTGGTCCGTCCGAACGAGATTTGCGTGATTCCCCGGGGCGTGCGGTATGAAGCCTTCACCTACCATCCTTGGCCATTAAGTGAGTATCTGACAAAGACTTGGATAGGTACCGCGTAACTCTCCCCGCCGGTCCAGTGCGAGGATACATCTGCGAGCTCTACCAAGGCCACTACCAGCTCCCCGAGCTCGGCCCGATCGGCTCCAACTGTCTCGCCAACGCCCGCGACTTCCAGGCGCCCGTAGCGGCCTTCGACGACGAAGAGGAACCCTCCGAGTACCGGTTGTACAGCAAGTTTGCCAACAAGCTCTACTCCGCCCGGCAGCAGCACACCCCCTTCGACATCGTCGCCTGGCACGGTAACTACTACCCCTACAAGTACGACCTCGGGCGCTTCAACACGATCGGTTCCATTTCATTCGACCACCCGGACCCGTCCATCTTCACCGTTCTGACCGGCCCATCGGACCACGCGGGCACCGCCATCGCCGACTTTGTCATCTTCCCGCCCCGCTGGCTGGTGCAGGAGAATACCTTCCGCCCGCCCTGGTACCACCGCAACACCATGTCCGAATTCATGGGGTTGATTACGGGGAACTACGATGCCAAGACGGGAGGTGGGTTCCAGCCTGCGGGGGCTAGCTTGCACAATGTGATGAGTGCGCACGGGCCGGATGCAGATGCCTTCGAGGGCGCGAGTAATGCGGAGCTCAAGCCAACAAAGGTTGGTGATGGAAGTATGGCGTTCATGTTTGAGAGGTCAGTCTTTCCCGTGTCTTTCTTTGTGGATTGAGTGCTAATTCGATGGGTGCAGCTGTCTGATGGTGGGTGTCTCCGAGTGGGGGCTGAAGACTTGTCAGAAGGTGCAGGAGGAATACAATGAGCACAGCTGGCAGCCACTCAAGCGCCACTTCAAGAATCCGAACAAGAAATAGGGTATAGTTTGGTGGACAAGGCTATAAGATGGAGTTCGGATTGCCCATAAATATCAATCTGCACAGGTCAAGTGATTAAATAAGCGGTGGCAGGCTCCGCGGTAGTCATATATCCCCAAGAATGAAATGGATACCACGATCAAGAATTCTTCAGAAACTGGAAAGTGTAGAGACATGAGCTTGCTCAAGATGTAGACGCAATTGAACATGGTTCCTCTGTTTCAAAGTACAAAACTTCCTCCATGGGAAACTCCATCATGGTACAAGTCTCTTCCTACGGACAATGTTACCCCGCATGTTTCCAGATCTAACGTCTCAAGATGGCAGTGAACTGCTCTCGAACCCTTGCAGATCAATTTCCGATCACTCGAATCTCTGTACTATACGCAAGATAACGTGACTGAGGAAAGACTTGCCCTCACGGTCGCAGGCAGCCCATTCGACCAATCACAGATGATAGTCGGAGAACCCGTAGAGACGGGCAAGTCTTTCCGTCTCGGCAGGCAACTTGGCCCGTCTGTTTACTCCGCATTCTTGCAGCAGTGGACCCTCTCTCTCCGCATTTCTCGACAAGTTCTCTGATATTCTCAACTGGACATGATACTACATCTGCTTTTTGACTACGATAGACAGATGGAGGAACTTTTTCCTTTGGGGCGGTGGGTCTGCCAGCGATGTTCCAGAGAGGAGAAATCGTTGTGTCGACATATATAAACACCTAGACACCCTCACGACAGACAACAGCACAGCAGCAAGCTCAATCGAACAACACCTAATCATCTAGAGCTCGCTCTCTCTTTCTCTTCTTCTTTTGCTTTTCCACATCACACCACATACAACAATCATGTCCATTCAAAAGCTCAAAGTCGGCATGGCCGGCCTCGGCCGCGTAGGCAAGATCCACGTCAACAACTTCCTGCACCAGACCCCCCGCGCGGAACTGGTAGCCGCCTTCTCGCCGGATCCTGCGGAGATCACCTGGGGCAGACAGCACCTCGAGCCCTACGGCGTCACATTGTATGATGACTACGACAAGATGCTCGAGCATCCGGGCCTACAGGCCGTGGTCATCGGCACGGCCACCTCCGTGCACGCCGAGGAGACCATGAAAGCGATTGACCGTGACCTGCACGTTCTGTGTGAGAAGCCTCTCTCGACGAGCGTTGAAGTAGTATGTTCTTGCCCTAGCCACCCTCTCTCTCCTCTTACACCACCAACTAACATCCCGCAAACAAAAAGTGCAAAGCCGTCGTCCAAAAAGCCAAAACCAAGCCGCACCTCAAAGTCATGTGCGGCTTCTCGCGCCGCTTCGACACCTCCTACCGCGAAGTGCACTCCAAGATCACACAGGGGCTGATCGGGCGGCCGTCGATCCTGCGCAGCCAGACGTGCGACAAGTACGACCCGTCCGGGTTCTACGTCGCCTACGCCGCCTGGTCCGGCGGGGTGTTCGTGGACATGTCCGTGCACGACATCGACCTGACCCTGTGGTTTTTGGGGGAGGACTCGATCCCGAAGAGCATCTCGGCGCACGGGATCACGGCCGTGCAGCCGGAGCTGAAACAGTACAACGACTACGACAACGCCGTCGGCATCGTCGAGTTCTGGGGCGGCAAGATCGCCTACTACTACTGCTCGCGTATGATGCCGCACGGCCAGGAGGACACCACTGAGGTCATCGGCACCGAGGGCAAGCTGTCCGTCAACATCAACCCGCAGCGCGACTTTGTGAACTACTACCACTCCGGCGGCATCACGCGCGAGGTGCCCCCCAATTTCGTTGGGCGGTTCGGCGAGGCGTTTGTGCGCGAGGCGAATGAGTTCACGGCCGCGTGTTTGGAGGGGACGCCCCTGCCGGTGAGGTTGGGGAATGCTGTTAAGGCTGTGGAGATCGGGGCGTATCTGCAGGAGGCGTTGGTGACGGGTAAGCAGATTCGGTTCGATGAAATTGGGCGGAGGGTGGAGGTTGCGCAGCTTTGAGGGGATTGTTCGACATCTTTGGCCAGGTAGATTACCACTCAGTGAGATAACGCAAAATATGCTAGAAACTAACAATTGATAGTTTAACATTCTGTTTCTGACAGAGACACTCTAAAGAATCAAATGTAGTTCGCTAAGCCAGGTGTTCTATTTCCGAGCCTTCAATTAGATAGCAAAGCTCCAGGCAAGTTGTACATTGACCGGCAAGGGAGCTTTGTGCGGCTGCGCGGCAATGGGCGGCGACGCGACATATACTTCGGAGTCGTGATCGGCTTCTTGGAAAAGAAATCCATACAACTGAGAAAGCCAGTACGGCATGTCGATAGTGATGAACAGGAAAGTATTACCCACAAAATTCCTAGTTATAGTTCAGGTTGGAAATCTCCAGTTTACGTTCAAGTTGTAACTCAAGGTGTAGGTGGTTAAAGGTGTGCTGGGGTGGAGAACGGGAAGAAAAACGAAAAAAAGAAGAATGGGACGAGCCGGGCTTGAACCGGCCACCTTCAGATTTACGGCCGAAGTTAGTGCTTCAGTCTGACGCGCTCCCAGATGCGCCATCGTCCCAATTGTGGAATCGTGATGCAGTGTTTGATTTGTACCCTAAGTGTACGCTAGCAATTTGCTCATTGTCCATCCCTGCTGTTCGCTATCTCAAGTCAATCGGCTACCCGCCTTGCCTCCAGATTGGGAGCCGTTGGGCCGATTCGAAACGGACTCCAGAGCGGGCGTCCATTTCTCCTGATAATGCCGTCTTAAGTAAAATGCCCATGTAACGACCCGTGATGCATACAAACTGTCCCAACGACGCCCAACAAGATCCCACTGGCACAATCTAGTGACCCTCAATGTCCGGAACCAACAACGATCGCAAACCATGGAGAATAGAGAGATCGCCTTTGTCGTCAAAGATACCAAATCTCCCGGAACAGTCGCATTCAGGGGGGAAACCACGGGAATGACGTGGCCAATCCTGGAAATGGACCTTGATTCGGGTCTATACTCCTGCGAGTTCATTGTTCCATTGCAGGACGCGGCAGCGAGATATTCGCACATGACTGGCCGGAAGATTATTATCGGAATCCGACAGTGGGCTTCCTGCGCTGTTTGATCGTCTTCTTTCGTCTGCATCTTCAGGCGAGGAAGAGGGCTGCCTGAGATGTAGGAGTGTACTGTACGTACATACCGCAACGTACGTCAGAACGCATCTGGTCCTTTTCCTTGTGCTCCTACTGGGCGTGGGGTTTGCGTGGCCGTTCATGACCGTTCGCCCCCCTTTTCATTATTCATCTCGTTGGCGACTCTATAAGAAATGGGGAGATTCCCTCGAGGGGGGGTTGTGCGCATATCACTCGAGTATCCTAGGGGATGGTTCATTTACCATGTCGACCACAACTACTACGACTGAGACGTTGATTGCGAGGCTTGTTTGGGAGCCATGGTGAGTCCTCTCCTGGGGGTTTTCCATTCTCTGTGCAATGTAGCATCCCATTTGGGATGCTTGAGAGATCCATATGCTGATATAAGACCAGGGAGAACTGTGGCTGGAAGTCTCCCGCTGTTGAGCATCGAGGTGAGTCTGGTGTGGTTTCTTTAGAGTGATTGCGGGCAATGATTCTGGACGGGGGAAATCGATGGCGGTCTCAATGGCGGTCTACACTCATGCTTGCTTGTCTTCCCTTCTCCTTCTCTCTCTTCTCTCCACACCGCCACACCGCCCGTCGATCCTCATTGGGGCCAACATTTCATCATTCACCATCCATTCATTATTGCTTTTTTATTCTTCACCACTTTTGAACGCCAAGAACAACCTCCGACATTCCTCACGGACTCAATCTCACAATTTCAAGTCGGTCTTGCAACATCTGCGACTGATACATCCCTGGAAGCCCCGAAAACTAAGATTGCCCCTGGCTTACGGAGTACTACTTCTCTGCCTTGATCTCTCCGTCGTGGCCGTGTCTAATTCGTGTGTCCGACTTCGCTCCGACTGACTCACTCACGCGATCAAAATCGACCGCTTTTGCCCTGCGTCTCACCGCATTCCATCACATCATTTATCACACGTCACGTGAATCCAGCCGTTCATTGATCCCCCAGAATCATCTTGGTTTTAGAAACTTTTATTTTGTCTCGTTCTTGAAAAAAAAAATAATAAGAGAAAGGTTAAAAAACAAGGCTGAGACTTTTTGAGCTCCATTGCCAGGAGCAATGGATCATACAGTACTCGTCGAGTCTGATGGTACATCAGAGACCGATGATCAGACCAAGCTCTGGGAGTCCGATCCGCGCTCCGTGACGGCGGCCCATCTGGCCCAGGATGAGGCCGAACTTCCGGCTCCAGTCGAATGCGGTGCTATCGGCCACCGCGTACAAGCCAGTCGTTCGGTTCTGGCCCTCGTGCTCGACAAAGAATGTGTCTTTGCTGGTCTGCAGGGGGGAGACATTGTAGTACGTGGGAGCAAGTCTCCGAATATACCGATTGGCCTGCTATTTGTCACAAATGCTAAGACGAAATCTAGGCTTGGTCTTTGGAGACCTATGATCTTGTGCTCTCGGTGCACGCTCATCAGGAAAGTGTCCTTGATCTTTACTTGTCCGAGGACGGAGAGCTGCTCTTCTCCACGGGCGGAGATTCTGTTGTTAATGTAGTGTTTTACCCTTCCATGTTATCTCCACCAGGAGATTGCTGACCTTGGTAGGTATGGTCGACGAGGACATTCGACCGGCTGTATTCGATCCACTCCCACCACGATGTTGGAGATATCTTCGCGGTCGCTTATTCGTCGAGCTTGAAGACGATCTACTGCGGTGCTCAGAACACCAGCATTCAGGTCAGTCTCTTGCCCACCCTTGTCCGCATGGGCTACTGATTGCTGAAATTCCTTAGTGGTGCGACATCTCCCAAGTCGATGCAGCTTCAGCACAGTCATCGGCGGCGCAGTTGTCCCGACGGACCCATCGCTTTTTCGACTCCAGAGGTCCGGATGGTTCGCGTGCGCCGCGGCCGGACGCAGGTGCTGAGGGACCTCATTCAGTCATGCAGGGTGGCCAAGTGCTGACTTTCAAACGCGACCACCATAAGCTCTTTGCCCACCACGGCTACGTATACACCATGCTTCTGGTCAAGGGCTTGATTGAGTCTTCTCCAGAGGAAGAGGTGCTTCTGACGGGCGCCGGCGATGGGGTGGTCAAGTTGTGGCGTTTGGAGCAGAACTCGGCCAACGCCGTTCCGTCCCCGATCGCGAAGCTGCAGAACGGCGATTCCGTTCTCTCCATCGCCGTGGATGGATCCTTCCTTTACTGTGGTTTGGCTGGAGGTGCGCTGAACATCTGGAACCTTGACTCGCGGCAGCTGGTCAAACGCATCGCCATGCACACCGGCGATCTGTGGGCCGTAGACATTATTCACGGCGTGGCGGTCTGTGGAGATTCCAACGGTGTGATCAAGGTAGGCGATCCCCTGACTGATTCGCTTGATGCTGCGGAACCGGCGACTGATTGCGTGTCGCAGAAATTCAACTCGCGGTTCGAAGAGATCGGCAGCTGGGTTGCTCACGGAGGGACTATGCTCGCGTCTGCTGCTGGTCAGTACAAAGACCGCTACATCTACGCGAGCGGCGGCAACGACAATACGGTCGGCATTTGGGATGTGACGGACGTGACTCGGGGAGGTCAAGCCGAAAAGCCGCCAATCAATAATGGTACGTCCCGCATAGCGGACTGGGGCGAGGTAGTTTGTTTACGTGAGGTTAATTTCGAACAGATGAAATGGTCAACTCCCTGGCCAAGTTTGTCGCCTACAAGACTGTGTCAGCCAGTCCCAAATTTGCGGTTGAATGCAACCAGGGTGCAGCTTTCCTTCGTCGTCACTGCATCTATCTCGGAGCGAAGACCAATTTATTGACCACGGGAGCCGACACGAATCCCATCGTGCATGCTCGATTTGATGCTACATCTCCAGACAAGGTCGACAAAACAATCTTATTCTACGGCCACTACGATGTTGTTGGGGCGGATGCGAATGCGGCGAAGTGGAAGACCGACCCGTATCAGCTCGCTTCCATTGACGGCTTCCTCTACGGTCGCGGAGTGTCGGATAACAAGGGTCCCATTCTAGCGGCGCTTTATGCGGCCGCAGACCTCGCTCGACAGAAAGCGCTCCGCTGTAACGTGGTTTTCCTGATTGAAGGCGAAGAAGAGTCGGGATCCCAGGGATTCCACGAAACAGTCCGCAGGCATAAGCCTCAAATCGGCCCCGTGGACTGGATCCTCTTGGCTAACAGTTACTGGCTTGATGACTACAACCCCTGCTTGACATATGGGCTGCGTGGTGTGGTCAATGCCAACCTGGTTGTGCAGAGCGACCACCCCGACCTGCACAGCGGTATCGACGGAAGTTCGTTACTGGACGAGCCACTGAAGGATCTCACCATGCTGCTGAGCACCTTCGTCGGACCCAAGGGCCGAATCAACCTGCCAGGGTTCCATGAGCCTGTTCTTCCCCTCACCGAGGCGGAGAAGCAGCGGTACACCGCAATCGCTGATATTCTCCTGCCCCACCACCCAGAAATCACCGACAGCGACGCGTTCATCAACTCGCTCATGCACCGCTGGCGTGAGCCCTCCCTGACGATCCACTCTATCGAGGTGCCCGGCAGCAGCAAGAGTGCTACGACGACGATCTCTCGCAAGGCCAAGGCCAGTTTATCGATCCGATTGGTGCCGAACCAGACCGCCGACGAAGTGGCGACCAATCTGACGCTCTTCGCGCAGGAGCATTTCGACAGTCTGGAGTCGCAGAACGACCTGACCGTCGAGATCACGGGTAAATCCGACCCCTGGCTGGGCGATCCGGACAACGAGATGTTCCAGACCTTGGCCGACGCGATCGCGGCCGCCTGGACTCCGGACACCACTAACCAGCGACACCAATACCCACCCATCCAGACCATCCCGCAACGCACCCTCGAGGCGACGAAGCGCGCCAAGGAGCAGCACCCGCGCCTCAAGCGGGCGGACTCGGAGGATAGCCTGGCCTCCCACATCGACCGCATCATCATGTCCACGACGATCTCGTCGACCGGCAAGTCTGCGCACAAGCGGTCATCGTTGAGTACCGCGGTCCCGACCTCCTCGACTCTGACCAGCAAGTCGGGCGCCGCGCCGCTCGCAGCCGACGAACCCGCAGCCCCGAAGCCCGCGCCGGAGGTGGCTGATCCCAACCTGCCGACTCGTGTGCGTCCCATCTACATCCGGGAGGGTGGCTCGATCCCCACCATCCGATTCCTGGAGAAGGAGTTCTCCGCCCCCGCGGCGAATCTGCCTTGTGGACAGGCGAGCGACAACGCACATTTGTACAATGAACGATTGCGGGTGGAGAATCTGTATAAAAGCCGGGAGATCTTTGGCTATGTATTTTCACGGTTGCCGGAGAGGCTGTAGATACCATATCTTGGAATGTTGAGTTGGGATTATGCGTTGGAACAGCTATTATTGTAGTGGGGGTTTTATTTCGGGTAGAGCATTAATATCACTAGCAATTAGACTCCGACAGGAGGGAGTTATTATTTGAGTACATTAATGAGTGGTGCGCGCAGGGTATCCATGATGCCCAGTGTGTGGTGTGTGTGTGTGTGTGTAGATATGTGGTGACGCCAGGCAGCGATATTTGATGCCTTGGTCAGCACACCGGCCCGGTCGACTTGCAGCGGAAGAACATAACAGATCGGTTCGCGATGATCTGCAGGGTCGGAGCACATGGACCAATTTGCGGTAAAAACCAAACAGGACCACTGTCTCGCATAGGACTTTTCAATTACTTAGTGGTCAAGCCTCGACCACCATCAATAATCCCTATGGTATGGTTGATGAGCTGGAAAGCTGAATCAATGGGACGCCCACTCAGCCCCAGGCCCAGCCTTTGACCCTTCCAAGATGCAACCGAGGCTTTGGTTGTTGACCCCACGGGGTAAGCGAGGACGCGAGGAAGCGAGGAAGCGAGGAAGCGAGTCAACCAAGGAAAATTATTAATGAAGAATAGACTAGCACCGGTGAGAACGGGAATTGATTAGCCAGGAAGTGGATAGAGTGAGGAACGGGTGAGCCTTTCTCCGCATTTCTTGGCTGTTCTCCAACCGCTTTGCCGGGCTCTTCTTTTCCACCGATCGCTTCTTTGGGTGCTTTTGCTGTTCGCTCGCTCCCGCCCGCCCGCCTGCCTCTTTCTTCCCCCACATCTTTTCTCTCTCTCCAACCCAGCCCAACCCAGTTCACCCACACTTCTCCTCTCCCACTTCTCCCTCCCTCCTCCTCCACCTGGGATTGTTCTTTTCTTCACTTTCTTCACGACCTCTGAAGTTCAAACCAGCTTGTGTGCGACCATTGCCAATTCTTCTCATCCTTCGCCTATACTCCCCGACTCTATCCGGTCTACCCCTCTGTCGCATCTTCCTCGCATCTCCCACCGACCCCCCATGGCCTAAACCCCCGTCCTATTCCTCCCACACCCTGTCGGTTCCTGCATCACATCCTCCCAAGTCATGCGCCACTCCGTCAGAGATCACATCCTCAATATAACGCCCACTCTCCCCCGTTATAACTCCCCCGTGGACTCGGATCAAACCCCGCCACCGCTATAATGTCCGTGATCGTGAAACCACCCAAGCGCAAACTAGATGACCTCGATGGTCCCATCGCCCAGAACCACCGGCGTTTGTCGCATAGCCCGTATGTCTCCAGTGGCTCCCAATCTGTCGATCCAGCCTACGGAGATGAGACCCCGAGGGAACGAGTACACAGCCTCCCCGGAGACAACCCAGAGGCCTCACATTGGTTTGCCCCCTCGTTGCGGGGGGTTACCTCTAGCCGAGGGTCTCCCACGACCTTCGAAAGCGCCACCCAGGTGCCACGAAAGTTCGCGCGGAACTCATCCATCGTGCTGATCGGCATCCGAGGAACCGGCAAATCCAGTTTGGCGGTGATACTGGCAGCCACGTCGGGGCGGAGGTTGATCGACGCGGACCGATACTTCCAACAGGTCACCGGCCGGTCGCGCGCGGCGTACAAAAAGGAATTTGAATTGGTGGATTATCGACAGCAGGAAGCCCGAGTGATGGAATCGATGCTGGCAGACCATCAGGAAGGGTGCGTGATTGCCTGCGGGCCGGGTTCTATGGAGCGCAGTGGGCAGATGCTGCTCCGTGAGTACGCCAGAACCCATCCGGTGATCTATCTCCTCCGGGACGCAGAAAGCATCCAGTCTTATCTGAAGGCGTGGAATGTCGACAAAGTCCGTCGGTTCCTCGGCCTGGCGGGGCCGATCTATCGGGCGTGTTCCAACCTGGAGTTCTTCAACGTGTCGGAGAAAGGCATGGCGGAGCATGCGGCCGCCAAGGAACGTAACCACGCTCAGTTGGAGCTGGAACTGGACCAGCGCTTCCAGGCTATCACGCCCTTCCTGACTCTGAAACGATTGCAGCTCGACTTTCTCCGGTTTATTGCGTTTGCTACGGGCGATGCCAATGACTTGAGCAGCCTGAACGCGTCCTTCCCGCTGTCCATGCAAGCGATCGAGTCGCGGGCGTTTACTTACGCTGTGACAGTGCCGATTTCTTCGTTGTTGGAGCGGGACCTGGATATTGAAGACCTTGAGTCTACATCTGATGCATTCGAACTCAAGATTGACATCACGGAACCGCCCTCCTCGCGACTAGCTGTGGACTCCGGTATCGCCGACAAGATCAGCCATGCGGTCGCAAACATTCGACGAAATACTGTCGTTCCACTCGTATACCACGTGGAAAGTAGTGTAGGCTTCAGTATCCAGAATGGTGAGCACAACGAACCCTCGCGTCGGCCCACCAACGAGTATTTGAACCTTATCCAGCATGGGCTACGCCTGGCTCCGGAATTCGTGACGGTCGACCTGTCGTATAGCGACGACCTCTTGTCTCAAATCATCGCGTCGAAGGGCTCGAGCCGTGTGATCGGCCATTATGCTGCGGCTCAGCCTCCGCCAAGGGGATGGGACGATCCGACATACATGAATCTCTATGAGCGAGCAAAACGGTTGGGCTGTGATCTAGTACGATTGACGCAGCCGGCGACCTCCATAGATGACAATTTTGCAGTTCAAAGGTTTCGCGACTCCTTCAAGTCACTTCCGACTGCACTACCCCTGATAGCATACAACTCAGGACTGCTGGGCCGGTTATCTTGTTGTTTCAACCCAATTCTGACGCCTGTGACACATCAGTCTCTTCTCTCTGAAACACAACTCAAAGGGATTCCCTGTATCACTTTGCGTGAAGCCCAAGAAGCTCTCTACTCCTCCTTCACTCTGGACCCTATGCAGTTCTTCCTGTTCGGCGGCAACGTCACCTACAGTCTGTCGCCAATCATGCACAACGCGGCATACAATCTCTGTGGCATGCCGCATGTCTACCGAACCCACCAGTCATCTACCTTGCGTGGACTGAATGATCTGGTCTCCAATCCACACTTTGGCGGCACCAGTGTCGCCTTGCCGTACAAGACAGAAGTAATCCCCCTGCTCCATTCGATGTCTCCTCACGCCCGCGCCATTGGTGCTGTGAATACCCTGGTCCCAATTCGGGAGGGTGACGAAAAGGCTCTGGATGGCGATGGTTCTCCTTTGCTTATGGGCAAGAGCCGCGCGGGCCCCGTGAAAGCTTTGCATGGAGATAACACTGACTGGATTGGCATTGGTAACTGCTTCCGACGAGGCCTATCCCCTGCGAATGCCATTCGGCCTTTGTCCACCGGGTTGGTTATAGGTGCAGGTGGTATGGCTCGCGCTGCCGTCTACGCCATGATCCATCTGGGGGTGCAGAACATCTTTGTGTTCAACCGCACCGCTGCCAATGCGGAGAAGCTAGCCCGGCACTACAACCAACAGAACCTACGGTCGCCCGGCCGAGCCGGGTCAACAACCCGCCCTCATGTTCATGTTCTGCGATCGCAACAAGACAGCTGGCCTGTCAATTACAAGCAACCGACCGTCATCTGCTCCTGCATCCCCACTCACAGCATCAGAGGGGAACCGGCGCCCAATAATGAGATCCCGTCCCAGTGGCTGGAGAGCCCGACGGGTGGTGTAGTTGTCGAAGTAAGTCTTGGTCTCGCAATTCAATCGCGCAAACATGATATCCCGCAAGCAGAACTGACATTTTCTGATTAGTTGGCCTACAAATCCCTCAACACCCCGCTAATCAAGCAGATCCGTGCGCTCTCCCACCGCGGCTGGGTGGCATTGGATGGGTTGGATGTTCTCCCGGAGCAAGGCTTCGCCCAGTTCGAATTGTTTACGGGCCGCCGTGCGCCTCGACGGCTGATGCGCACGGTGGTGTTGAAGGAATACAAGGAGGAAGAAGGGCAATACGACCCGCAAGCCATCCAGAATCGGCTTGAGAATCTGAAGGGGCAACCCACCTGATGATGAGCTTGGCCGTATCGCCGCTGTAATGTGATCGATGTGATGTCGAGATCTTTAGGTTCAATGAGACACGACTTGTCAAATCACTGGTAGTTGACGACCTCTTTTATCTAATCCACAAAATCGAAAGTGCCCGTCCGCCCATTGAGATAGACCCCCCTCCGTCGTCGGCCGGTGAATGTCCGACTCACATGGTCCATGAAGGCGCTGTAGGCGTCGACAAAGACACTGCCGATGTCGGTGGATCCGTTGTCGTTGGCATTGGCGTAGCTGCCACGGAGGTTGTCCGGGGACTCATCCCGCCGCTTGCTCCGGCGCCAGCTCTCCCGGCACCGGCTCGCGGTGTACAGGAGCAGTTCTGAGGCCAGTGGCTTGATGAGCCCTGGGTACTAGGGGAGCAACCCCACCACGTCATGCTGCAGAGCTGAGCTCAGTCGCTAATACGCAATCGAATGTTGGCTGAGTGAAGCTGCCACTGCAGCTGGATTTGATCGACCCCTGTCCTCCTCACGAGCTCCTATGAAAAGATGGAAGCGACAGTGGGTGTTTGCACTAGTGCTGCCCTAGCTCAATCGTGCGAATCACTCAAGTGGGCTCGAGGTTTGCAGATAGGAAGAAGAGCGCCAGTGCTCGGGTGCAATTTACCGGTACACCCCTATAGAGAGCCATTCAGGGTCACATACATCATTTCTACTAGATACTGTAAAGGACTGGGAGTCTTCAGGTGATACAATGCTGCGAGTCAATCGGGCGAGCAAAGCTCGAACAGGCGTTGAGGTTCTCGGAAGATAACCCCGAAGCTGCAGATTCGGGTGCCTGTGGGGCTTCTAGGGCTTGCCTAAATATGTACTCAGGTAGATACGGAGAACTACTCCACGTGTGGTCGATCGGTATGAAGTAGAAGGTGGTGGCATGCGTGATTCCAATCCCGAAAAATTCTTGCTTCTTTATTGTAGGCATCCTATTTCTTTTGTTTTTTCCACTCGGGGGTACCTACTCTCACGATCATAACACACGTGATCATTTTCCCACGATATGTTCAGGCAGCCCTCTGCGTCACACCCGTACTATTGGTCCTAGGACATACGGCTCCCTCATGAGGCGTATTACTGCAGAAAAGCTCCACATAACCATACTACACTCTCAATTATGTAACTATTTTTAGCATCTGCTTGACCCCGAAACAGAATGACGCGATCTTATCTCTCCTATCAAGAGATTAGTCAGCCGAACAAGCCGAATCTCACGATAAGGAAATTTGGAGCATAAACACAACCCCCCCCACCCCGCAATTCCCCTCCAGTGTCTCCTCTACCTGACGCTCAATTGCACTTTTCTCCCATCTAACACAAGCAAAACCCCATCCTCACAATGCCCACCTTCCCGCTGGTCGTGCTCCCCCGCCCCGGGACCACAATCCCCGAGCCAGCGTCCTCCATCCCCGCGCCCAGCGAAGCAGCCTTCACCTCCACCTTCGGCACCGTCCTGCCCCAAGCCACCTACCTCCAAACCCCAGCCGGCCAAGCAGCCTACTACTCCATCCCCCCAACAGCCACTACTCCAGGGCGCGGCCCCACAAGAGTCCTCTTCGTGCACGGCGTGCAAACCAGCGCGATAGGCATGGCCCCGCTGGCGCGCGCCCTGGCCGCGCGCTTCCCCGCCGCGCACTGCCTCCTCTTCGACCACTGGGGCCACGGCCTCTCCGCGACGCCGCGGCAGCCGCACGCGCCGCCCCTCTTCCACGACCTCATTTCGGCCCTGCTCGACCACCTGCGCTGGCGCTCCGCCCATTTTGTGGGCTACTCCTTCGGCGGCGCCACCACCGCCGCCTTCGCCGCCCGGTTTCCCGAACGGGTGGAGAGTATGGTCCTCGTCGCGCCGGCGGGGTTGCTCCGCGCCGCGCAGTTCACCGAGCAGCAGCGGGGGCTTTTGAAGGGGGGCGATGGCGACGAGGCGGTCGAGCGGCGGGCCCGCGACTGGATCCTAGAGTGGTTGGAGGGCGGGCCGTTGGTGGTGCCGGCGGACTGGGAGGAGAGGGTCGCCCGAGGCGAGGTCGTGGCGCAGTTGGTGCGCAAGTGGCAGGTGGAGGAGCACCCGGGCCATGCGGCCAGCGTGGTGGGCATCTTTCGGGATGGTGGGGTCATGGATATGCATGACACCTTTAGAGTGGCGGCCGAGAAGGGGATTCCGGCGCGGTGTGTGTTGGGCGAGTTGGATGATTTGTGTACCGTGCAGGAGTTGGGGGAGTTGGGGTTTGGGGATGTGCATGTCGTGCAGGGAGTGGGGCATGGGGTGGTTAGGGAGAGGGTGTCGGAGGTGGCCGGGTTGGTGGCCGAGTTTTGGGAAAGGTAAGGGCTGGTGGTCAAGGATATAAAGTGGGGGATATGAGGCTAGCTATTGGGTAGAGGTCGTGGATGCGTTTTGAGGTGGGACGTGGGATTAGTTGGGTGGACTGTTCATACCATGTACTAGATTTGTCATATTGTGTAGAGATCTTACGATGTCGACATCCTTGGTGCTTGTTCTCTTTTTGGAAGGGGTGGTCATGGGCGGGGGTAGAATGATAGTCAAGGGGAGGAAAGCAGATAGGGCAAAGTTACCACGTACTCGATGGTCTGAAAAAGGGCGCTCAAGGTTAGAGGGATGGATTGTAAGAAGTGTTTATGCTTACTATTAATGGGCTGGAAGGTATTCCGCGGCTCAGAACTCGGAGATTAGCTTGGAGAATCATTGGAGATGCTTTCAGTAGAGGGGACCGGGGACTGGTTAGAGAAAGGCGATGTGGATTTTGCTTCTTTCACTTGTCATAGATCCTGGTTCTTCTGTCTTAAGGGGTGGGATCGGATCTGGACCAGAACTTTCTCATCGAATCGTCTTCGATAGATCGTACAATCCCAGTCTCTAGAATAGCAATTCCCTTCTCAAAACCCCTAGGCTTCTGATCTCTATGCCGTACAGGCGAAACTGGTCATATATCTCTTCACAGTACCTTACTCTAAGATCCACCTCTAAGACCACGATCTCTGATCGTTTGTGAGACAAAGTAAAGATCACATGAGCCAATTTACTCTCAACAGATTGGACAGAGATACTTATCAAGAGATCCTAGTGTTACATTGACAGTTCTGTATGCGCTGGGACTTTTCCACTTTCCTCCTGTTTCCCTGTCTCCATCACGGCAAGACCACATCTAGCTTCGAGCTGCCTGGCTTGGTAAGAGTCTAAGTCCTTCTGAAAATATCTCTAGAATGGGTATATGGACGACCAAGCTCCTAAACTATTCGTCTTCCGAATATCTTTCATGTGTCTCATACGTGGTACGCATGACGCAGATTTGTGAGCACCCGACCCAGACCCTGGTGCACCTCTACCTGAAAGGCCTCAAACGGATACCACTCCCCATCCACACTGATGCACCCCTCCTTCTCCTTAGGGGTAAGACGGTACGCCGAGACCTTCCGCATGTGCACGTCGCCGAGCTCGAAGCATTTGCCCTGCGGCAGCTTGACAGTAGCATCGAGTGCGCCTACAATCCCTATCGTGTCAAACACCGTCATGACATCCAAGAGTCCGTCGCTGGGTAACGCGGCCGGGAAGAAGTTCGTGTCCTTGGCCACAATCGCCATGTTACTGGCGTAGAAGCTCGACAACCCCTCCCCGGAGACCACCTCCCAGTCCTCCGGGATATCGTCGTGCACGGTACCATACTTCAGCGGCAAGCCACTCGACCCGGCCCCCAATTCTTCAGTCAACACATCCGACGATGCCAATGACTGGCCCTTCGCACGCTCATAATACTCCTGGATCTCCGCCTTATCCCCCATGACCGTCTTGAAAGCCAGCTCACAGGGATACGCCGTCCGCTGCGCAATCGTCGTCAAGACGCCATAAATGAACCGATGATCGCCCATCCACCGCAGATGCTCCGTCTTGAGGTCCGAGTCCGCCAACACCCCCAAAGACTGCGACAGAAATGACACCGTATGCCGATCGCCCTGGGTGATCGAGAGCAGATCCAGGGGCATTGATACGCCTTTCACAATCGCCAGCGCCGCCTGCGCGACATCGTCCGTCCCGAACAGATTCCACGCCATCGCATTGCCCGACCCGCAGGGGATCATGGCCACGGCCATCGTGGTCAGCGCCCTGACGGCATCCGGCCGACGGGCCAGCCCGTTGAACGCCTCGTGCGGCAGCCCGTCGCCCGAGCAGCACACGATCGCGTCGTAGGCGTCGAGGTCGATCCGCTCGGCGATCTCGCTGGCGTGGCCCTTGTACCGCGTCTCCTCGACGTCGAAGTGGCAGTGCGCCGCGGCGAGGATGGGCGCGGCGAGCGTGCGGAATTTCGTCACCGCGCCGGAGCAGAACGGGTTGATGATTACCTTGAGGCGTTTGAAGGGTTGCGCGGGGCGGTAGGCGCGGGCCAGAAGGTGCGATGTCCAGGTGGTGGCCTGCGCTTGCTCCTCGGGGCGGACGCGGTAGTGGATGATGTCGAGCTCGTTGCCGTCGACGTACGTGATTGTGAGGTTATTGGGGGTGACTGCTGTGTTTATGATGCCGTGGCGGTCGAGTTTGTAGTTGGGTTGGTGTTCTGGAAGGTGGTTAGTGGGGGTATGTGTGTTGATTTTGATATAAAGGGGCAGGGGATGAATTAGGGCACGGTCTCTTTTTTTTGTGCAATGCATACCTCGTTGGGATAATAACCCGCAGCAGTATTTCCTAGTTCTTGTCCTGCCGCGGGAGGAGGGACGGTTATCTTAGAAAGGAGACTGGGTCAGCTTGGGTACTGTGGAATGACACTGCGAGCCTGGGAAATCATACCGGTCACGGTGACGAATTCATCTTCTAGTGACAGAGTCACTGACTGGTCTACTTTGATTGTAGTGGGCGGTTCAGGTGGATTCATTGCGTGGTGGGAAGAAGGCGTTAGCATGTTTGATTGTTAATGTAGGTCTTAATAGAAAATCGGATATTACATTCAACAGAGATGAAGTAAAGATTAGTCTAGTGTTTGTTGTGATCGGGGAAGCTTTAGGGCAATTGAAAGTAAAGCTTGTTGACATGACAGTTTGGATCAGGGAGGAAAAGTCCGTGACAGTTGCCACGTAAGACTATACCCGGATGGGGTTAGTGGATGTGCTCCGTAGGGGGGATTCCCATCCGAGCATTCCGAGATAATCATGCGATGCAAGAATGTGCTGCAGTAGGAGGCGGTTCATGCTCAACAACAGTATTGATGAGGCAAGCTATTCGTGCTTGCTTGCAAGGACCTAGTTATTCCAGAATTATCATTTTCCATAGCTTCACTGTCGAATGGATAACTTACTTACTCATACTGTCCTGATGTAGAAAAATATATATACCATTTTTAGAATGGTGGTCCTTCCCTACCAAACCTCTTAACCAGATTCCACTGACTCATTAAACCTCAATAGCTGTAGTAAAGATCATAATTACAGAGCCTCCCTTAAGCTAAGTAGCCAAGGAAGATAGTAGGATGGTGTGCCTAGAATGACGGGCACCCTAAGAGGCGAGGAGGCGAGGGGGAACTCCCACTGGAGCTTAATGAGGCGGTCAGTAAGATATAATGCTGGCATGGTTGAAGTTATTGCGGATGGGCACGGCTAGTTGACTGAGGTTAGAGTACTTCCATCAAGCTCAAATCGAGACTACGCAGGATTCCACCCGTCCTGTGTTGCACTCTCTGCTCTATCGGCCTCTGACAACACACCCACATGAAGGCAACCTTCGCATTGTTGCTCAACCATCTCTCACCGAATAGAACCCAATCATGCGCCAATACCACGAGTGAAAGAAATCCAGCGTCTCTGGATGAAGCGGCGCCCACCACTTGTCATGCAACACAGCATAGCCTGCCCAGAGATCGTCCGGCCACGGCCACTGCACATTCCACGACAGATCCAGCCGCGTCCAGGGCATCGGACCATCAGCTGCAAAGACGACGTTCACAAGACTCTGATCAGCGATACTACTCTCAAAGCTTTCCGGCACCGCCAGCATGGCGGCAAAATAGTCGAAGATCTCGAGTGACGGCTGCAACATCAGAAAGCCCACGTTCAGAGTCTCCCAATCATAGAAGTCCTCTGGCACGCGCGCTGGGCGTGCTGTATGATTGAGGCGCAGCTGCGGGAGACCGGCCAGCACGTATGACTCCGGCAACGGTAGGACCCTCTCACCCACATGCACCGACGTGGAGAGGGCAGTCCTCGGCTGGAGCCCGGGAAGGTCCCAGACCGCGTCGATAGACCGAGTCAAGACCGAGTCCGCATCTAGCAGCAAAATGCGATCGTACTGCACCATCTGCCACAGCCGTAGGCGTGTAAGTACATGAGCCCATCGCGCGTCCTTGAACCGCGTCCAGTCGGCTTTCAGTTCCGGCAGCTCGACCACCTGCGCGCCGTCGCGTCGCAGGCAGTCCCGCTTGCTTTCGTCCACCCCGTCGTGGACGAAGACCACGAAATCCAGGTTGAGTTTGGTGCGTGTTTCGGGGGCGTGTAGGATTTGGTATGCGAGAATCCGCACGGCATCGAAGTAGGGATCACTTGAATTCTTGTACCTGGAGAACCAGAAGTCTTGGAATTCCGTTGGGGGGCTCAGATAGGCGGCGTAAATGGTTCTTTGCGTTGGCGAAGCTGCTTCATGGTTGGCACGCTGCCAGGGAAGGATTCCGGATGACCGCCATGATGAGAGGAGCGCAATACCCACAAGAAGGATGGAGATGCTGACAAGGTGCTTCATGGTCGTGAATATATGCTCGGAAGCAATATGCTCCTTTTCTTACTTATGAATGCAATGCTCTATCGGATTTTATTCTTTCCAGAAGTGGTGTGGAGATCACCTTGAGATGAACCGTAGTGCTCATGCAGGTATGATTCATCACTAGTTAGGTTCCCCATTTGCATTGGCTCATCTTGCATTTAAATCGGGTGTTGATGTCGCACAGGCGAATAGGGAATTTTGGACTGAAGATCGCCGTATTTCTGACAGGTTCCCTGTGTAAATCACGATCGTCAAGCTGCGATCGACAAGCTGCAAACGTCGATCGTGTGACGCGATCTCATTCCTACAGGTCGAGTGCCACGAAACTCTAGTATTCATGGCCCAGTCCCTATCTCGCACTGGGGAGTTTGCCGACGAATGAAACTCAGCTTGGTGGAGCTTCGAGGATCATTTGTGAGTCCTTCTCATGAATGAGACAGCATCCTGCGCGGATTGATACGTTCGATTGCTTTGGTGCAACGCGCAGTCCGCTACTCACATTAGTCCAGTCAGATTGACCAGTCAGATTGAGCAGTCATAAGTACGAGACTATATGTTCAGTGATGGGAGCCTGGGTATGCAGGATAGCAATTCATCTTTCTGGTTCATCTCCGACCCAATATCGAGACCTTGGCCCGTCTGAGTCTCATTTCCATGCGCACTCAAATTGCATGAAACGAGTGGCGAATCGTTTAAAACAGCCCCTGCCGAGCCTAGTATATCTTGCTGAAGTCGGAACCGGAGCGAAGGATAACGAGTCTTGATCTGACCGGTAGCGACTTGCGCCTTTGGAAACATTCATCATGACACTCAAGAACGGTGCAGATAGGAAAGAGCCGGACCTCAAAAGCCGAACACAAAATTTGTATGCAATCTTGAACTATAATTGGGCCATTTTCCCTTGCACAGCGACAATCTTCTTCCTGGGTGAGCCCGACCTTGATCTTGTCAATGGGCCTCCTCCACTGACAGAAGTGCAAATAGGCCTTTATGAGATTAGCATTTGGACAGGTGCCTACCATGAGGTCGTTGTGCCTGACGCCCGGTGGACACCAGACTGCACCGTACTCGCCATGATTCTAGGTCCATTCCTGCTGTTCCAGCTCCCGCCATACTACACCCTCTGGGGACTCTGCCTCCCCATACGACCCTTCGCGTATGCGAAAGCATCTAAAAAGCGTCCATTCCGCAGTCTGAAAGTATGTCTTGTCACGAAGGCGACAAATGTGCAGGTAGAGTCACCGATGCCACCGGTATTTCGAGTGGCATGCTAATGCAGGAGTCACAGACAGTAATCCACACCGCTCAGCACTGGAATCGGCTCAGCAAGAGGGATCGCATCAGCTTCCACGTGGTCGTTGACTCAGTGCCAAACCCTTTCGTAGGCATGCTCCCTGACTTTGTGGAGCTGCTGGAGGTACCGTCTTCGTTTCGGCCAGATCACGCAAGGCACAAAGCGAGAGTGCTAGAGTGGTGCCGGCGGCACTGGCGATTGTCAGAAGAGGACTGGGTCCTGCATCTCGACGAGGAGACGGAGATTACGGAGGAGGTAATGAGTTCGTGCTTGGACTTCATTGAGCGGGGCGCCGAGGATATTGGCATGGTGAGATCCGCAAATGCTCTGCGAAAACTTGATGCTGAATCATGGCTGCTCAGGGAACAATCTTCTACGACGCCCACAATCACTGGAAGAACCCCCTCCTGACCGTAGCCGAGGCCCTCCGAGTGGCAGAGGACTTTGGCCGATTCCAGCTGCCGGTCCGGCTGTTTCAACGTCCATTGCTCGGCTGGATGCACGGCAGCTTTATATTGATCAATGGGCAGGCGGAGAATGCAGTCACCTGGGATACAGATTGTCTGGCCGAAGATTTCTGGTTTGCGTACCATGTGAGTCGATCAATCGTTCTTTTCAAGCACGATAATTCTTGAATGGGGTTGAATAATGAGACAATGTGGATTGCAAAGGCTGCAAAACAAGGCTTCAAAACGGGCTGGATCCATGCCGTCGCACGCGAACAGCCTCCGGAGAGCCTGCAGGATCTCGTCCGACAACGCCGGAGATGGTACAGCGGAATCATGTCCGTTCCGGACTGGTCGGTCAGACTGGCATTGGCAATTCCGATGCTGGAGTCTTTTGTGCATTTGGGCTTGTAAGTTTCCGCCTGGATTGCAGTGCCATGGTTGACTAAGCATGACTTGGTTCAGGGCTATCTACATCGCTTGTGGCTGGAGGGTATCGCTATCGCATCATGCCTTTGTTTGGCTAACTTGGAACCTCTCTGTTCATCTTCATGGACGCGTGGTGGGGTGTGTGATTCAGGATCTCGATTATCCTGGAACAACAGCGCCGGAGTTAATATGGCATGTTATTCTGGTTGTGTTGCTGGGCCCTGTGGTAGATCTGATCCAGTCGGTAGCTTTCTGCTTGTCTCTGGCTTGGCCAGCGAGAGATTTTGCGGTGATCAAGAAGTGCTGAGAATCGAGACCCTCATCGGTCGGAAACATATAGTCTCTCTGATAGCACTCTGCAGGGCAAAATGCATGAAGAGGGGGAGAAAACAAGCAATCATAATGACCACGATCCACAGCGGAAACCTCGATCTCGTTTGCAGAGACTGACCTAGTCCCAGCTTTGTGTAAGTGAGGTTCCAGTCGTACCAATCTGGCGATCTGCAGGTGTAGAAGTTGTAGAACTGAGAGAATCTGCAGGCAATCAGCAGAGCGGGCGTGGCTCAAGAGGGGACTCGGGAAGATTCACGACTTACGGGTAGATCATCGAGTTCCATCCGTTTGGATCGATGTACCAGTTGGTGCAGCCTCCCTTGGCCCAAATCGAGTCTCTCGAAGCTAGCTGAACCTTCTGGGTCCACCGCAGGCACGCCTCCTCCTTGACCTCCAGTGCTGCAACCTTACCTTCCAGTACAGGCTCGGCGAGTTGCAGGATATAGTTGATGGAGTTCTCAATGCCGGCCATGACACTAGCGTGCCCAACTGAGGAATTCGGACCGTAGATGAAAAAAAGGTTGGGGAAATGGTCCATTGCGACACCTAGATACCCTTGTGGTCCTCCCCGTGCAGTCCATACGTCGTGGAGGTCGGCTTCATCTCTCCCCGTGATGCGCATAGACGAGAGGAGATTTGCACCTGGGCTATATCCTGTCGCTAGAATGAGTACATCAGTGGGAACGCTGACTTCCCGGCCGCCGTGTTCTAGTATGACTGAGGAGCGCTCGAACCGCTTGACAGGCGAGTTGTGAAGGCGAAACCTTGGTTCATGTAGGCAGTCAAACCAGCCTGGATCGAGGATTAGTCTCTTACACCCAACCGCGTATCGTGGCGTGAGCATGCTATGATACTCCTCAGGAGCCCGCTGGCTTACATAGCGCGTGAGTCTCCGTTGAAGCCATCTATGTAGCTTGCCTCCCTTGGGATGCGGCCAATAGAAGGTGAAGTGGAACAGTTCGTAGAAGCTGAGAAGCAGGAGACGCGCCAACCAGGCGCCTAGTCTGTTCCTGGTAATCAATGGCATGCATCGATTCCATAATTCCAACAATCGACCAGAGTAAGGATCCGCAGTGACCCAGTGAGGCGAGCGGACAATTTGGGTGACAGATCCTGACCCAATCGTGCTCCAGGGAAGCAACAGTTGCGGCACGAGCTGCGCAGCACTGCATCCCCCACCCACAACCGTGATGTCTTTGTCCCTCAAGGGAATAGAGTTATCCCACTGCGCCGTGTGCATTGTATGGCCCTGAAATGTCTCGATGCCTGGGATATCTCTTAATATCGACATGTCGGGAGTTCCGACCTTGCCGACTGCGCTGATCACGATTTTGGCCCTTACAGTGGTTCGCCTCTCCGGGGTAATGACTGTTGCCAGCCATTCATTTCGAGTGGCATCCCAGTTCAACTCCGTGATGGCGCTATTCAGTTGGATCTTATATAGAAGTTTGTACTGCTCGCAAACCGCATGCAGGTAGGCGTACATCTCCTTGCCAGTGGCCTTGGGACCCAACCAGTTTGTCTTGGGAGCGAAAGAGTAAGAGTAGAGTGGGGTGGGTCTAGCTAGTCGGTTAGGTCCTGTAAGAAGGCAGCTTGAGTGAACGGCTTTTGACCTGAGACTCACGAGTCAGTAGCTACCCCTGGGTACCGGTGACTCCACCATGTCCCCTGTCTTATGTCAGCGTGATATTGAAACGAGCATGTAACACCATGAACTGAAGACATACACCAATTCCGCCCTGACCCTCGAAGATCATGAATTGATCAAATTCTAATTTGCGTTGCAGTTGGCACGCACATCCGATGCCAGATATTCCAGCTCCGATGATAATAACCGGGTAGTAAAGGCCATCAACAGGGCCATTGCTAATATCTGGCATCGTGAATTGCGAGAGCAGAACACAGGCTGCAGCGATAGAATCTAGAGACAAGCCTGGAGCCATTTGAGAAGGGGAATCGCGGCATTTATCAGGCCATGAAGACGCCACCGATGATCTGCAGGGCGAAGCAAGGGGGCGGGGGGAACATGTACGTTGCAACCCCTGTCAGTCTTCGGCGCAACTTCGTTCTCGCTAGGATAAAGGGAACCTGAAATCTTCTTTCTCCTCATCCTAGGGAGTCATGATGGCTCACAGCACAATGCAGAAGCATGAATGCAGATCTGATTGGGACATCATAATTATTGGAGCTGGCTTGGCCGGCATTAACATGGCCTATCGGGTTCAAAACCAGCTGCCTCACTGTCGATATCTTGTTATCGAAAGTAAGAGCACTGTAGGCGGCACCTGGGACACGTTTCATTATCCTGGCCTCCGCGCAGATTCCGATATCTATACTTACTCGTATACTTGGTTTCCATGGAATCAGAAGACCAAACACCCCGATCGGGAATCAATCTCACGATATTTAGCCGCCGCCGCCAGCTCGTTTCGGCTTGGGAATAACATTCTTTTCAATCACAAACTACATTCGGCACATTGGTCAAGCAGCTTGCGCCAGTGGGAGCTGGTATGCCATCATTACAAAGCACCACCCTCCGCTGTGGGACTCCGCACAAAATTTCTCATCTTCTGCACTGGTATATTTGACCACAACGAGGCCCGACCAGCTGAAATTGCAGGGTTGAATTCATTCGCAGGCCCAGTGATACATCCCCAGTTCTGGCCCGACGATCTGGACTATTCCGGTAAACATATCCTACTAATCGGTAGCGGAGCAACGGCCATGACATTACTCCCGGAGCTTGCTCATACTGCTGGATCGGTGACGCTCGTCCAGCGAAGTCCAGGTTACCTCCTTACTCTCCCCGAGAGACGGCATCGGAAGAACGGAAGTTGGCACTGGGTCCATCACCTTAAATGGGTCCTCTGGATGATCGTTCTCAAACGGTTTTTCCAGCTCTGTCACTGGTTCCCGGGACTGATAAAGCGAATATGCGTCTTCTGGGCCCGATGGCAGCTTCCAGCCCATGTTCCCGTCGACCCTCATTTTATCCCTGCGTACAACCCGTGGGAGCAACGGCCCAATGTCTGTTTTGGATGGGATATGTTCCGAGCCTTGAAAGGTGGACGCGCGCTGATAGAGACAGGCCACATCGCCAATGTCGACCGACATGGCCTCAGGCTTCAGTCCGGAAAGTACCTGCAAGGCGATATCATTGTAACTGCTACGGGGCTGAAGCTCCAGTTCGCGGGCGGGGTAAGGATCCTTGTGGATGAAATCGAGATCGATCTTGGAGAAAGGCTTGCTTGGAATGGCGCCATGGTCCAAGATATTCCGAATGTGGGCTTTGTCGCTGGGTATGCGCACACGTCGTGGACGTTGGGGGCAGACATGCGAGCACAGCTGATCTGTCGCGTGATTCGGGAGATGGAGAAGAACGGTGTGCCTGCTATGGTACCTCGCTTCAATGGGAACGTGCAGGCCATTGCCCAGCGGCCTGTATGTTTGAAGTCATCCTATATCTTGGCTCAAGAACAATGTCTCCCAAGGGTGGGCCGCGATGGGCCCTGGAAAGCGAGGAACACCTATCTGACCGACTACCTCTTTGAAAGATACAGTCGAAGAGTGCTTGAAGGACTTGAATGTGTATAAAGTAGTGAAATTCGGATTGCATGGATTGTCAAAATGACTATCAAGAACAACATGCTTAAAGGTAGGAGGTAGGAGGTAGTGTAGTGATTCAAAGTACAAGGTAGTTGCATTGGCTATTCCCTAATCAGGCAGGTGGTCATGTGCCCGCCCGGGCGGGGCCTTAGGCCACCACGGACTTCTCACGACCACAACAATTCATTCATGCTCCTATTACCTACTTTCTCTCGCCATCTACTGCGACTTGCTTTCCATCAACTTTCCTCCGCATCTATTTCTCGATACTTTCTGTGTCTTTAATCGGCACAGAATACCTCTCTTTGAGTGTAGCCACGCACACGCGACTGAGCCCTCCAACCGTGCCCGCCTTCGAAATCTCAGTCAGACTGATTTCCATTCCGAGTTGCCGGCGAAACCAATTCCGAATCTCGATCGACATCAACGAGTCAATCGCAATGTTGGCCATGTCGTCGTTCTCTTTGCCGTCGCGAGACATATGAGCGTTGATCAAATTGCACAGCTCGGACATGATACGTAGTTCTGTGGCAGGATCATCTAGCAGATCCGGGTTACTCTGTATTTCAGAGAAAAACCCTTTCAAGTCTGTCTCATCTGTTTCCGCATCTCGTCCAGCTTGCCCACACAGGTTTTCATACATCGAAAACCTGATATCCGGTCCCCACAAGGGAGTTACGCCCGGCGCCGAGAGGGGCTTGACGGAGCTCACTCCGACCATCATCACACTCGAGGTCATCTTGGCGGGATCTGGTGGCAACCTGCAGAATAGAATGGCGGCATGGAGTGCGTTCACGACATCTTCCTCACGTAGGAGACGCGCTCCGGTTGACCTGACCCGGTTCAATGTGGCCTGGTCCTGATGCACGCATCCGATGTCCTCCACCACGCCCAGGTTTAGCACCGACGCGATGCCGCCTAGTTGGCGACGATAAAGTACGAATGCATCGAGGAAAGAGTTTGCTGCTGCGTAGTTCGATTGTCCGACTGTGCCAACCACGCTGGACATAGAACTAAACAGAACAAAAAAGTCGAGGCTGGATTCGTGCGCCTCTAACGCCCAATGCAAGTTGTATGTGCCATCGACCTTGGGTCTAATAGTTTGCAGCCAATGACTATGCGTCATCTTAGCTAAGCTCTCATCCTAGATTGCTAAGTTAGCTGGGGCGCCATGTGGAAGGATGTGCTGTGGTCGAAAGATTGACTCTAGAAACATACCTGAAGCACCATGGACATCTGAATTACCCCTCCAATTGCTCGTCCGGCTGCCTTTGAAAGAGCCACCTCGACATCCTGCAGCCGAGCAACGTCTCCGGAAACCATCTCGACTCCGCAGCCCTGCCGTGCTAGCTCGCAAACGAACCGTTCATGATCAGCCCGCCGACCAGCCGATCGTGAGAGGAAGATCAAGTGGCGAGCTCCTTTTTCGACAAGCCAAGTCGCCACGGCGCGTCCAATGCCACCTAGTCCACCAGCCAGCAAGTACGATTTGTCTGCCGATAGACTCATAGGTATTTTGACTGGACTCGTGCATAATCCGTCCCCCACTGTCGGCATCTTGACCACGATTTTGCCCATATGGTTGCCACTTTGCATATACTTGAAAGCCTCAGCTACCTCGCTGGCTGCGAACAGGCGAAGCGGTCGGATTGGTCGTACTCTATTGTCCTTGTACCACTCGACAAATTGGTTCATCAATCTGGGCATCTCGCATTAGTCAATCAACTATTTCATTTTTGCGAGGATGATTACCGCTGTGACAGCCTAGGCTGTTCTGCCATGATGCCCAACATGTCAACGCCAAAAAAAGACCTATTGCCAATGAAAAGATCCATGCTCAAGCTTCCACGCGCCAGAAAGTCTCGCTTTCCTAGCTCGATCATTTTTCCAAACTTGGCAACACACTGCCACGATGCATGAAGCAGGCTTCCAGCCAGTGAGTTTAAAACCAAATCTACCCCTGCTCCGGCTGTTCTGCTCATGACACCTTGACGGAATGAATCGTCTCGAGAGGTGAAAATGTTCTCCGCGGGAATCCCATACTCGGTATGCAGATAGCCACGTTTTTCAGGCAAGCCTGCAGTGGCGTAAATCTGTCAAACCTGTTAGCGAACAATCACAGGTTGAAGAGGTCAAGTCGGGATCTATACGGTTGCGCCGATTTCCTGGCATATGTGAATGGCGGCCAAGCCCACACCCCCGGTGGCACAATGGATGAGAACAGTCTACCGGAAATGTTAGCCTGTGTTATCGCAAAGCTTCCGACGCTCAAAATGGATTTGTTCCTTACCTGGCCTGGCTGTAACTGACCGACAGTAATCAAGGCGTAGAACGCTGTCGCATATACCGCTGAGACCGCCGCCGCGTCCTCTAAAGACAGCCCAGGAGGAATCTTGGTACATTCGTGCTCCTGAAAATGCGCCCGTGTTCGAAACAGACCCTTACCACAGACTACTACCCGGTCCCCAGCTTTAAGCCGCGTGACCTTGTCACCGACTCTGCGCACGGTAGCACTTGCTTCGATCCCGAGCTCACTTGCATCGCCCATGACACCCAGAGTAACCATGAGATCCTGGCTCCGTGTGCGATTAGCATTCGAGAAGGCTCCAAGCTGTGATGCTACCACCTACCCGAAAGTTCAGTCCAACGTAATGGACATCTATCTCAAGCTCTGTAGGCTCAAGCACCGGCTTTGCATCTGGAATAGCTTTCCAATTTAGGCTATCAACAAGCCCATAACGTTGAATAGACAAGCAGCGTGGTGCCTCCAACTTAGGCTCTTCTTGCAGTTGATCTCTGAGCGTGTGCCAGTGAACTCGGCTAGTATAGACCTGGCCATTTCGAACCACATATTCGTCGTCTATCAGAGTCTCCTTCGGGACCTTCTGTCGTGTCCGGTGGTATATATCAACGACCGCTCGACAAGTTCCCTCATTCAATGCATCAAGCTCAACTGTGACGATCTTTCCAACTATCTCCCTTCGCAGAGTTCGGGAAAAACCTAGGGCCAGACCCAACCTAGGATCATGACAGGTGGTTTGCACACTGCGCGTTAGATGAATGAGCGGCATATTAGAACTCATCGAGAACAGATTTTTCATCTGCTCGAACCGGGCCTCGTCCATGTCATGCAATCCAGGCGCATGCAGATCGAGGAGAGAGATGAGACATTCTGTGTTCGCAGGTAGTGCATGCAGTGTGGCCCAATCTACGTGGTAGCCCTGTTCCAAAAGTTTTTCCTCCAGCCTTTTCTCCCATGAGATAGTACTTTCGGCGCTGACCGAGACGAGGGTAACCTTCTGTGCCGGCATATACTCGGCGGGTCGACGCGAGATTATGTTGGCATTCTGCTGGTATGGAGGCTTGTTGTCTAGCGCCACGCACATTGCACCAGTGAACCCCGCTTGCAGAAGCTCGTTGTGCCATCGCTCCGGCTTGACGTACGGAGACAGTTGTCGTCCATCGCTTTCACCATTCCACCAGTCAGGTATCGTGCCCTGGTGGTATCGTGAGCGAACATGGGCTAAAAGTAATCCTCGCGGGCATGTGACCTACCATGACGAAATCGGTGAACAGGATGTCTGCTGCTGTCAGATCAAAGACCTTAAGTACAGACGGGATGGCGCAGCCTTTACTCACCGGGACAGAGCTCTTGGAGCACAAGGTATCCTGCGGGAGCCATGAGCTTATAAACATTCTTTAATGCACCGCGGAGTGAAGGTGTGGCATGGATGACCTTTCACTATAATGTTAGCAAAGACGAATCTTGCTACGTGCCAATACCCGAATTATGTGAGAGGCGACGACAAATCTTACATTAGAGATGATTATCAGGTCGTATGAAGCCGAAGTGAATCCCTGCTGGAGAGGATCTTGAGTGATATCAAGTGTCTGGAACGCAATATTCTCGTGCTCGCTGAATCGTTCTGCTGCAGTTGAAAAGAAAGCCGGCGATATGTCAGTGAAGGTGTAACTGGCCCATGTTCTCTCTCCACCCTTCGATCGCAACGAAGCAATCACCTGTGCGCAGGTGGCCCCTGTGCCAGCTCCAATCTCGAGAATTCTGAGCCGAGGGTTCCAGTGGCCGACTAGAGACAAGAATGACCTCCAGTCCGAGAGTGAGCTATTGAAGTCATACACATCTCGCAAGACATCCATGGACAGAATCTCAAGTGGAGCAACGTGGCCCTGTATAATCTGGCTTGCATTCTCAGATACTCGTCTCAAGACTTCTCCTAGCCTGTCAACACCTCGTCCTAGCAGCGTGAGCTGCTCTTGAATTTTGGCGGCTTGACCATGTCGTTCATTACTGGTCATGTCTTGCCAAGGAATCTGGAGAAATGTTTGCGTTGTTCTATTGGTGAGTTGATCGTGCGTTCTCATCAGCCATGACTGATACCTTGCCAGGTGTGTAGTCGCGGGTACCAAGCCTGCAATCTGGGATGTGGTTTCTAAGATGTAGAAACATGTCAGTTCTGCCATCAGGGACACACCCCTTTCCTCCCACTTGGGACGCAGCCACTCTGCCGGCGAGATGAGGTCAATGCACGGCGCCCATTCCAACTGGGACATGAGAGGGATTGGGCTCTCATTATCTGGCTCATCATTGGCGAGAGAAATACAAGTCGCTCCGATGATCACCAGTGCTGGTCCCGCCTCGCTAAGCATAGTGACATTTCCGGACATGCTGGTCGATGACAGGGCGCTGCATGTATCAGTTTGTATCCACATATCTCCTTCAGTCCGCACGATGCTGATCCGGTCGATGGAGGCCGGGATGGCCAACGAGGTGGCATGTCTCCGAATTCCATTGACCACAGCAACTGACAATAGTTGAAGGCAGTGGTCAATTACCGTTGGATGTACCAGGTAGTCGCCTTCATAGTCGCTATTGCTCTCGAGCACAGTTGCATTCGCCAGATGCTCCACCGGATCGACCGATATCTCCTTCATTCGCTGGAAGCTCGTCCCATAATTCAGCCCCAGGCGAGCCAGGAACTGATACCAATCCGCGGGCTCCACTTCCCGCGTCCAGCGGGGCTGTTTGCTGACTTTCGGTATTGCTGTCGGAGAAATAGCCCGTATTTGACCATGGCAGTACTTGCCCCACTCAGTTCCATCTAAGGCAAGAACAGTAAAGTCAAACCATTCGGAGTCAGCAATATCGCTCAATCTCTCGGGCTTCAGAGACGTGAGGACCTCGGTGCCGCTTGTTTCCTGGAGGAACAGTGGCTTCTTGAGGATCATGTTGCGGATCTCATATCCCTCACAGTGACAATGCTGTCGGATGGCTTCCCCGACCATCGCTATATATCCGGCGCAAGGGAAAACAGTATCTCGGAATAGCTTGTGATGCCCTAACCAGGTGCAATTGTGGATTTGGAGCACATTTCTCCACGAAGGCTCTAGAGAGCTTGACTCGAGTACTCTGGATCCGAGGAGCTCATGGTGAGGAAACTCGCGCTGTCGCCAGCTCTCGCTCAGGCGACTTTCGCTCCAGTGCCGCTCGAGATGTTGCCATGGATACCTTGGCAGGCAGTCAACAACCTTTCCGGGGCCGTTGATGCGCAAAAGGTCGATCTCAGCCCCTCGGCTATAGGCCAGTCCAGCTGCACGAAGCAGGGCATCCTCTGCACTCACAGCCCGTACCAATGTCGGAATGTACCAATTCTGTCCCTTGAATTTTGTCGAGTCAAATATCTGACGCAGCGGTCCCTGAAGCGCACTATGAGGTCCGACCTCTATGAAAAGTCGATCATGGTCGGGCTGGGACCGGAGCATGTCCTTCATCGCCTTGTTGAACTCGACGGTGGAGATCAGGTTACGGCTCCAGTACTCACTATCTAGCCTAGCGGGATCATTGATTACCTCACCGAGCACAGTGGAATACATCGGTAGCATATGTGTGCCGACTCTCTCAGCTTCGGGAGCAATAGCAGCGGCATAGTCCGCGGCCATGGGCTGCATCTTTGCTATTCAGTGGGTCAGTCAAGGCCAATTGCAAAGGATTTGTCATCGCATGGAGTACGTACGAGAGTGATAGGCCTTGGTGACCTTGAGAGTCCGGCAGAATGCGTCTGGATACGCGCTACGAATTGCGTCGATGGTCGAATGAACCGCCTTTGTGTCGCCTGAGATTGTGATGCTCTGAGGACTGTTCTCGCAGGCTATTACAGCTCCTTCTGCCAACCAAGGCTCGACTTCCTTGCGCGAGAGACCAACTGCAGCCATAGATCCATCGCTCACATTCTGGGCCAACCTTCCACGATGATAGGCAATCATTATTGCGCTGCGAAGCGAGATGGCTCCAGCCGCGTAAGCTGCCGCGATCTCACCGCTGGAATGTCCTATCACACTCGAAACTTTGAATCCCCAATCTCTAAGTTGGTTGGTTATTGCGATTTGTATCGCCGTGCAAACAGGCTGAGAGAGACGTGGATCGTGAATCTTTGATTGCGCCTCTGGGGCTAGCAGGGTCTCTGCAAGGGCATGAGTTGAAGCATGGTCTTGATTAGTGGGTGGTTGGTGTACATACCTGCTATCGACCAGGACGGAGGAGGCTTTGCAGATCTCAACACATTATCCATGTGTTGGACGTCACTTTTGAAGTCTTCACTATTTTCGAGCAACTCGCGAGCCATTCCCGCCCATTGTGCGCCTTGACCCGTGAACACTAAAGTGACTTCAGGAGACGGCGAAGCCTCCAGGGGCAATTCTTGCAAGCCAACCTCGGTATCGGAAGAGACAATCGCGAATGTGCGGTACTTCAGATGCTCTCTTCTTACTCCAAGGGTGTGGGCAACATCATTCAAATCCTGGCTTTTGTTCGCCAAAAACCCCTCCAAGCTTCGGGCGCGTTCGGAAAGAGCTTGTGCACTAGCTGCGGACAATACTAGCAACCTTTTTGTCGTTTTATGGGGAGACCGGGCATCTAAAAATTGAGTCTGTCGACAAGATGTTGGGGCTGGCTCTAGAATAGCCTGTGCTGATGGTCAACATGGCATCCTGCGGAGTTAGGGCGGGCGTGAGCACTCACATGCGCATTAGCGCCTCCGATACCGAAGCAGTTGACACTAGCCCGGAGTTTTTTATGCGCTGGCCATGGGATAGAATCGACTGGTACGACTAGCTTGCACTCTTCGAAGGGTACTGCAAGATATGTGTTAGTGACGATCAAATACTATGTTCAAACGTGACGCCTACTACTCGGATTGGGGGACCTGAAGAAGATGTTCGGCGGGATGGTGCGATGTTCAAGTGCCAGAGCAGTCTTTACTATGCTCGTAATTCCCGATGCGCCCTCTGAGTGGCCCATATTGGGTTTCACCTATTCCAGAATTAAGCCCACAGGCCTGTGTGGTTCATTCCATCGACAGCACTCACCGAACCGATAATGACGCCAGATTCACGGAAAAGCTCCCCAACCACCGATGTCTCCGCAGTATCTCCAGCGACTGTGCCCGTGCCGTGGCACTCAAAGAAACCTGTGTCTGTGATTTTCTGGATCTGCGCGCGCTTGTACGCTTCTCTAACAAGCGCCATCTGCGTGACTGAGCCGGGCGTAGTGATTCCTGGAGTCCGTCCATCGCAGTTGGTCGCTGTGGCGCGGATGACCGCGCGGATGGGGTCTTCATCGCGGACGGCATCAGCAAGACGCTTTATATACAGTGCATTCACTCCCTCTGCCCTACCGTAGCCATCAGCTCCAGCGTCGAAGGTACGGCAAATACCGCTGGGCGATAGCACCAGGTTGTCGGACATCGTTGTGGTCATGGTCGGAGTCAGGATGAGGTTCGTGCCAGCCACAATTGCTGACTCGCAATCTCCAGATAATATTGCCTGGCAGGCTTCATGCAGCCCCACCATGGACGACGAGCATCCCGTCGCCAATGTCATGCTGAAAAATAAGCCGGTTAGCCGCCAGTGGTACTAAGAGGGCCTCCACGAGAGAAGCAGCTTGAACATACCTCGGCCCTGTGAGGTCGAACTCATAGGAGATGCGATTCGAGAGCGCGAAGTATCCTGTTCCGAGCACATGTAACCGGTCGATTCTCTGCGTGTCCTTGGACTGCATGTCGTACCAATCCTCGCCGAAAACACCGACAAAGCAGCCAATCTTCCTCCCTTGACCACGCCACCCCACCTGCCCACCGGATTCCATGCACTCGTAGATGACCTCGAGCAGGAGACGCTGTTGGGGGTCGAGTCGAGAGGCTTCAAACGGGGTCAGCGAGAAGAACTGGTGGTCGAAATAGGCTGGATCCTCGGGGAGAAAGTATCCGTCCTTCGTCCGCACAGAACCCGTCCGCGAGGGATGGTGGAAGGCGTCGATGTTGTACCGGGACCCAGGGACCTGGCCGTGACCATTTTGCTTGTTCAGGAGGAAGTCCCAGAAGTCCTCCGGTGTGTTGACGCCCCCGGGAAGACGCAGCGCCATGCCTACGATAGCCAGCGGCTCAGGGCCGAACTCCTTTGCTGGATGAGAGTCGTGACACATGGTTGGTGAAGCCATTCTGCATACATTCGAATGAGCTGCGCCGTACGGGATAATCTTTTTTTACAAAAGCTCGGCGCGAGCTTTGTATGTTCTACGGGGAATTGGATGTTTTATGTCTGCGAGTGACGTGGAATTCAGCAGCTATTTGAGGCCCTAGCTCGATCGGGACAAAATGGGATTGGCCTGTCGCGGAGAGAGCCATTTATGCTAGAGCTTTCATAGCGCTCTGGAACTCGTTGCCAAGGTTGGCCACTGGACCCGCAATATCATCATGAAACGATTCGGGGATCTTCGCCCGCGCCGCATCCTGGAAGGAGCTACGTTCGTTCTCGAACATTTGCATGATAGCGATTGCCATAAGCCTCACACCGCTCTTATCGTACATTGAGCCCTGTGTGGCGGGAAAAGACAAGCAGTGTCAGCCACCGAAGACGCATCCAGAAAGGGCATAACCGCAGCCCCGGTAACAAGATCGGGGGGTTGAATGCCTACCTTACTGCCTGCCGCACCCAACGTGTTGGCAACAGACTGTCTCATAGAGTGGTATGCGACTAAAATGTCTGGCACTTCATCGTCTTTGAAAGCTGGGGCGGAATCCCATTCTCCCCGAGCCGACTTGGTTTGGGCATAGACGTCCCAGACGGCACGGGCCAGTTCCCACGACGACATCCACCCACCATCGTAGCCGTTGAATACCGCTTGAGCCGAGTCAACACTTTGGCGAAGGTTATTCATGCCGGCAATCACCGTCGGGGCATCCTTTGCTGAGGCTGAATGTACGACGGCGCAGATCCAGGTGAGGAAGCAGAGCCACCGAGCCGAGGCCGCAATGTACATGATGGTTGTCGTTCGCCTGTTCTGTGGATGTCTTTTGGAGTCGGTGAGCGTTGGGGGCTCAAGTTACAGCAGTCAATTCGGAGGCAAAGACGCTTAAGTTTCGCTAGGCGCATGGGCTGCAGTGGCTTGGCCACCAATCATATTTATACCTCCAGCTTATATGCGGGTGCCAGCACTAGGGAAGGGCTTGACGGCTCTACATCGTATCCCGTGTCTGCATACATGCCTCTTTAAGTCGTTAATGTGTGCTCCCTTGCGTCAGTGAAGGTCTGCCACTGATTCATCCGCCCCCTTGTTCCACTCCTTACTGCTCATCGAGATGAATTCCTTCAGGAGATCATTACCATGCCAATGAGAACCCAGCGATTGGTTTTTAGCGCGCGATCTGGTCTCTGATCCAAACTATAGGAGGTCTCCGAAGTTTGTCCCGATGAGGTGGTTTGACATATCACATCGCATGCGTAAATGAGTCACGCAGTCGATCGATCACACACACATTCCTCTCTTTGCATTGGCATTCAACAATCTATCCCAAACATGCAGAAGGTCAGTGTAGCATTCTCCTACGGAGTAGGTATCTTCCCATTGCCAGTTTGACTTCTGACACCAGCCGTACAATCGACGCAAGGAGATTCATGACTCGCACCGCGCAGATCATCAAGCCTTGGCATAAGCCTAAGCGACCCATTCAGGGGCGACTATGTGATCTATCTACCTCAATTGAAGCCTATGCCTCTCGAAGGATCCCCACTTGAAGCCGACTCACGAAGGTACATATCCGGGTGCATTCGGAGCGTAAGGATGCGTCAGTGGTAACCGTCCATGACGGCCTCGAGCTCACCTCTCCCTTTCCCGCCTCCTCTCCGGGAAAGATATGAAGCTCTTCTCCGAAATCCCAATCACGAGTTATGATCACACTGGCAAGGCTCATACATACTATCCCACACCCGTCGCACTGTTTACGTGCCGAAGGGCGGGGTACAAGACCGTGGCGCTACATACTAGCTCCGCTTCGGTTTGCTTGTCGCGCGCGTCCCATGCACCCGATCCATGAGGCCGATTAAGCCGTAGTTGACCGTCATCAGTTCATGGTGCAGATCATGGACCTCGGGCTTCCAGCCGTCTGGGGTCTCCCACAGGCGGTACCCGCTGTGCGCCAGGGCGGCCTTGAGGCCGACGGCGCCGATGAACGCCCACAGGGTCACGACGTGCACGTCAAACAAGCGCGCGGGCCCCACGATGGGCAGGATATTGGTGACGATGTGCTCGACCGGGTGGGCGTACAGGGTCGCCAGCGCGACGGGGGCGTGGAACCGGTGGTGCTGGCGGTGGAACCGCGCGTAGAAGAACCGGTGGTGCAGCAGCCGGTGGCCATAGTAGTAGGTGGTCTCGCGCGCCAGGATACACAGGACTAGGTCCACCAGGAACTCGCGGAGGGAAGGCAGGGTCGCCGGCACGCGGTAGCCCAGGTCGGGCCGCCCGAGGACGAGGTGGACCGCCACCAGCTGCAGGGCCTGCAGCGTGGTACTGAGCAGTTGATTCCCCAGGGAGCCCAGCAGGGCATCGCGGATGATGAGCTTGCGAAGGGGCTGCTTGTGCGCCGGTTGGATCTTGTATTGTTGGATGGACGGCCAGGCCAGCAGGTCGAACACGGTGAATATGCCGGCTGGAAGCCAGAAGGTGAGAACTTGGGTCGCGAGCATGCCTACCAGCTCGATCCAGGGGGACGGGTGTTTGTGGACTAGCATTGTCCAGCGCGTGGCGATGTCCATGGTTGCTGATGGCTTTCTTGGCTTTCGTAGAACGTTCGGCGAGAGATTCGTGAGAAGATGCTGTATGGAAAGGGAGGATCGGAGGTGTTAGAAATAGCAGACCGTGCAATCCCTTCTGCAGGGTGACAGGGTGCCAGGATGAGAATTGTGCTGTAGACGACGGAGCGATCCTTGTGGTCACTGGGCACAGAGATAGAGCTTTCACCCTTGCATAAGGGCCTCAGTCGATCAGGGGGGCACATATGTTGATCTGAAACCGAGGGTCGAATGCCGGCGGGACTTGTCCCTTGTCTGGGGTTCTAGACATGACTCCTCAGCTGGAGGGCTTTGGTATGACAAAGCGTCCGTCCTCCTACTCGCCTATTCCAGCTATTCACTCGCATTGTTAGTACTGCGTCCCATCATTGACCTCGAGGTCTTCATACCATGGGTTCTCCTCCCAAGACGTGGTGGAGGCAAATTCACCTCCGCTACGCAGCAGCCAACCTAGGGCTGCCATTATACGTGGCCTACCATGCGCCCAGTACATCATTACAGTGGGAAACCTGTGTGTGGACGTTGATTTACGCCTTCATGACAGGGCTAAGTATCACCGCTGGTCCGTCCCCCCCAACCCGCCTCCGAGAAACAAACCGCCACTAACACCCAAGAACAAAATCAGGATACCACCGCCTCTGGACCCATCAAGCGTACAAGGCCTGCCTCCCACTCCGCATCATCCTCGCAGCCCTCGGCGCCGGCGCCCTCCAGCTCCCCATCCGCGTCTGGGCCGCCGACCACCGCGCCCACCACCGTTTCACCGACACCGACCGCGACCCTTACAACGCCAAACGCGGTCTCTTCTACACGCATATCGGCTGGATCCTCACCTACAACCCCGACAGGTTTGGCCATAAGACTGAAGGAGTAGACCTGAGCGACCTGGACCGCGACCCCGTGGTAGTCTGGCAGCGGCGCGCCTATTACCCGCTGGCGGGGCTGATGGGCTTCCTGCTGCCAGCTGCCGTGGCCGGCATGCTGTGGGGCGACTGGCAGGGCGGATTCCTGTACGCGGGGTGTCTGCGGGTGGTGCTCGTGTGGCATGCCTCGTATTGCATAAACTCGCTGGCCCATTGGATCGGGGAACAGTCGTACTCGACACGCAACACCGCAAGGGACTGTGCGCTGCTGGCGGTGGTCACCCTCGGTGAGGGGTATCATAACTATCATCATGCGTTCCCGGGGGATTATCGGAATGGGGTTCGACGCACGGATTTGGATGTTACTAAATGGTGGATTTGGGCCTGGGAGCGCGTAGGCTTGGCTTGGGATGTGAGGCGGTGTACTGGGTGGAGGGCTAGAGGTGGTGGCTTGGGGAAAGGTGAGTAAGAGCTTGGTTTCAAGGGACAAGCCCACACGGGCCTGGGGGTGTGGTAGAGTCGTGGAGTTAGGGCCGTAAGAACGAAGGGTGGAGAAGGGATGGAGGAGGAAAGTTTTCTTGTGCGCTTTCGGATTATGTGTAGATGTCAATCAGGAAAGGTCTATTAAAAGTATGTTCTTGATCATGTACGCCAGAATTCGATATTGCCTTCCCAGAGAAGAGGTCTGGAAAAAGTTGTAGATTTAGGATAGAGACACCGTAAAGCCTTGGAAACTGTACATTATGCCATACGGCTTGAACAAGGGAGTGGTCCGTTGCTGCGCAGATCAGAAAATCGGCATCTTGAACGCATCGAGTTCGTATTTCCAGGTATCAAGAGACTCTTGGTCATAGACGCATTGGAACTGGGTACCGTTGTAGGTCCAGTATGGACGGAGGGGCCAACCACAGATTTGCTGCTGAGCACCAGTAGACTGCACAGTCCCATTTAGTGTCTTGGGCTCGATTCCCTTCTCAACCCAATAAATTAGGGTGGCTAAGGTAGTCTCCGGCCACGGAGCGTTGGGTTGAAGGCTGTTCATACCGCAGTGAGCGCCGCCAGGAATGAGAAACAGACGGTACCAATCATTCAGTTCGGCAACACTCTGGTTATAGGAGAGATCGGGGTACATGATGCTTCGGACCGACTCATAGTAACGGACTGAGCCAGAGGTTGGAACCTGTGGGTCGGACTCGCCGTGGTAGTGAAGAACTTTGCCCCCGGCGTTGTGCCAGACTGAAAGGTCAGGCCAGGTGGTCTCGAGGGAATCGTAGTATCTCTGGAAGCCAGTGGCAATCCAGTCACGGAAGGTATCCCTTGTCACGCCTTGAAAGCTAGAAAGAGGTGAGCCGTTGGTCAACAGATTCAGCCCAATCTCAACCCACTGGGCGGACTGCTCAACGAAGTATGCACCATACTTCCCAGTGGTCTCGTTATAGGAAGTGACAGCATCTTGAAAAGAAGCTGTAGGCTGATAGGACATGTAAATGCGTCGGCCAAGGTTGTCATGTGCACCATTGAGAATCTCCCGAGCGACAGCCACACCCTCTGTAGTCACGGTTCCATTTTGAGCTGGGATATAAGGCATGAAATTGGGGATCTCGGCCGATGAGCCACAGCTATAGGCTTCACCGATGGTCGAATTCAAGTTGAAATGCAGCTTGCACAGATCCGTGCGAGCGACCACCCCGTCTACCCGGCCGTCCAGATGATCACAGGCGTCTGTGGTCAGGGTGACAATCTTCTCCAACTCACAATATGGCGGGTAGTAGTTGAGTTGGTACTCGACAAATTGAGACCACAGATGCTGAATCTGCTGGAAAGAGAAGTGCATGCCTGGAGCTCCAATGACGGCACCGTCTAGATCAGCTCCGATCTGGACCTGGCTCCAGCCCTCACGGCCTCCCTCGGAGCAACCATCGTAATAGGACCAAAGCTTGGTGTCCGACATGTTGTAGAAGGACTTGGTGAGTTCCTTGCCGATCCGACTAAGCTCATCAATGGCCTTATAACCAAACATGTAGACAGTGTCCCAATTGACCTCGCCGTCGCCATTCAACCAGACCTCCCAGGAGCTAACATCAAAGCCACCAAATCCACCGTCCGTGGTACCGGCCACCGCACCCATGTCGATTCCACTAGGGAGAGAGGAATTTTTCTCGGTAATGTTCCATCCTTCGCCGCCAGTCGATACGTAGCGGTTCTTGAAATCGGCCGGGGCTGGCATCCAGTAATTGACATTAGTTCGATCCAGTCCATCGTGGGTGTATGCAAAGTTGACATCGCACACCGGGTAGTCAGCGTCATCAGTCGACGTGCTAAGTATTGCGGCTGTCACAGACGACTCATCGATATTGATGCCGAGTAATGTATCATTGCCGGGTAGGTTTGCAGTCACATACTCAACAGTACATACACTCTGAAGAGTTACGGCTTGGATTGTGACCGCGAGGAAAGACAATTCCCACAGAAGTCGAGTCATTTGGTCAGATGAACAGTACGAACATTCAATCCGAGTCGGAAGTGATGGAGCTCAAGGTATGCGGAAGGGCAGATAAACCATCGGATGCACCCCTGAATATAAATTTTCGTCTTGAAAACTATCAAGCAAAAATGGTTCCAGCGGCGGTGACTAGATAACTTGCATATATAGATCATCATTTTACCTATACGTACCACCGAGAATGTGATCTGCATTGATTGCAACTTGATACTCTCCACTCAATCTAATTACAAAATCGATGTCGTTGGATTACGTACAAGATAGACCTTAACTTACTCTAGTCTAGTATACCTAGCTTGTTATGGGAAAGAGAAAGGTCGATCATCGCCAACAGCGGGTGGCCTCCGGGACTCTGTTTGGAGATGAAGGCCGGAGCCCCATCTTTTAGGTGCACGTACTGTTGGTTATTGTATACAGTACTGGCTGGCCGGTATTCCAACCTTGGAAACCCCCCAAAGGTTCTGTGTATTTGTCTTCTAGCTTAGTCCCCTTGTTCGATGCTCGTTGAGATATCACCAGTTATATGTAGTTCGCAAGGTCCCCCCTAATCTGGTCTAGCCTCATCTCAGCCACATATAGAAATGATCAACTATAAAAGTGGGGTGAAGGCACTTTGAATAGAATCTCCATTGCGGTACTTCATATCTTATGACACTTACGAACCCCATAAAGCGCTCAGGTGGGTTATCAACGTAAAACAAAGCCGCGTAGGCACTTCTACATAGACGGGGTTTACATCCCGTTGTAGTTTCTCAAGTTGTCATGGTCGTCAGGCTTTAAGGTTAAGATTTGAACCCAGATAGCGCAGTTCCCTCTTATGGCGCGCCGCACGTTATCGTGAACTCGAACCCAGTGCCCTGTATGAGTATATAGCAACCCCATCTGTTTCCAGACAATCTATGTCCGGGTCAAAACATTCTTCATTGTTATATCCGGACATGTATTAGTCCATTCATTCTTTCTCTTTCCCACTAATATTATTCATATTCATTCTTTTTCCATCTGTCTGTCTCTTGTCTTTCCTGCCGATTGAACCAGCAATGCGTTGGTCTTCAATTTCAGCAGCTCTACTGCTTACTGCAAGCACCTTTGTGGGAGGATGCCTCTGTGCCTCAGCTTCCTCAACCGCCTGTGCTGGAAACACACCAGCGACCCGTGACCAATGGTGTGACTTTGACATCCAAAGTGACTACTACACGGAGGCCCCGGACACCGGGGTTCTCCGAGAGTATTGGTTGGTTCTTGGCAATACCACGGCTGCTCCTGATGGCGTCCCTCGCAATGTGTTGACCGTTAACGGCACATCACCGGGACCTACCCTGCACGCTAACTGGGGAGACTGGGTGCGTATCCATGTTTACAACGGACTGGAGAACAACGGTACCAGTATTCATTGGCACGGAGTTCGTCAGAACCATACCAATCCCCAAGATGGCACCAATTCTATCACACAGTGCCCTGTGCCTCCCGGTGGCTCTATCACCTACGAATGGCGGGCCACTCAATACGGCACTACTTACTACCACTCGCACTTTGCTTTGCAAGCATGGGAGGGTATCTATGGTGGAATCGTCATCAATGGCCCTGCGAGTGCAAATTATGATGTGGATGCTGGTATACTTTATCTCAGTGACTGGTCCCATCGTACCTCCGACGCTCTATACTCCGCCGCAGAGACCGATGGAGAGCCAACCCTAGCAACCGGACTAATAAACGCCACCAACATCTGGGTCACGGAGAATAACGAGACCACCGGCTCTCGCTTCAACATGAATGTGACGTCCAGTCAAAGCTACCGCCTTCGTCTGCTTAATGGGGGAATGAGCAATCCTTTCCGGTTCATGATCGATGACCACTCTCTCACTGTCATTTCTACCGACTTCGTGCCCATTGAGCCCTTTAACACGACCTCGCTCTTGATAGGGGTTGGTGAGTTTGAATCCCGAATCGAAACCCAGCATGCCATAGCAGGCGGATCAAGGGTCAGCTAAGGCTAATTCACTATTCAAGGACAACGATATGATGTTATCGTTCACGCAAACAAGCAAATGCAGGGCTCTAACTTCTGGATGCGGTCAATTCCTCAAGTATCTTGCGCTGAAATTTCCAACTACGATATTCGAGGGATTTTCCACTATGAAACGCAAGATAGCAAGCTTGAAACTCCAACCACAACTGCATTCGATTACACAGACAGTTGTGAGGATGAGTCCATGTCCAACCTTGTTCCAATTGTTGCCATTGATGCCGCAGGAGTCGGTTTTAGTAGCCACAATGAGGTCCAGGTTATCAAGAACACTGCCGGCTTGTATAAGTGGTATATGGGCCCAACAACCTTCGTGGCCGAGTGGGACAACCCTACTCTTCTACAGATTGAGAATGGAGAAACTTCCTGGACCAATGCCTCCCATGTTGTCCAAGTTGAAGGCAATGGCAAGTGGGTGGTTATCGACATCGAAATGACCATCAATGTCCCTCATCCCATCCATCTGCACGTGCGTGTACTCACCTGTCTTTCTCAGTTGGTACTTGGACTAACAGCAATGTCTCACAGGGTCATGACTTCTTCATTCTCGCCCAGGATACAGGAAGCTACACGTCGAATACCACCTTGAACACCGTCAATCCACCCCGTCGAGATACCGCTATCCTTCCCGCTCTCGGATACCTTGTCATCGCTTTCAAGACCGACAACCCCGGCGCCTGGCTTCTGCACTGCCATATTGGATGGCACCAGTCTGAAGGGTTTGCCATGCAGTTTGTGGAGAGTATCGATCAGCTGAAGCCCATGATTGACGGCGAGTCTCTCGAGAAGAACTGTGCCGCTTGGGAAAAGTATGCAGCTCAGAAGGATATTGTTGAAGACGACTCGGGTATCTAGCTGAGGAGGATTTCCAATGTGGGCTAGGAGTGCGTTCGTTGCCATGAGCAGAACCAATCTGTGCCAGTGGCAGAAATTGGACACACCACTTGACCGTCTTCGCGCATGGGTGATATAAATGTGTTATCTCCCTTCAAGCTGGATTTAATTTAACTCTGCCTAAAGATGTAGATATTGCTATTGTCGGCATGGCATCCTAGTAGAATGTGGATATCCTTATCAATCGCAGGAAAAGACATTCTCAAGCCACGGTGCATGTTCTGATTCCAACGGCTATATATACATGTGCTTACACTAGTAACTCAAGTCTAGCCAATTCAATTCAAAATCTAGCCAACAATTACTCCAGAATCGAGCAGTCATATAGAACACCGAGGGGCGCGATATAATCCGTGTGGTTGTAAGCCAAGTTCAAAGACATGAGCTGACCCACAGTCACATTGTACGCAGTCGCAAAGTCCTGGAGAGTACCATAGGTGAACGTGAAATCCGTCATGGTACAAGCTGTGTTGGCGCAAGTAGGGATCTTCACCGTCTCTCCGGTCTGGAGCACGTCATGAATCCCGGGGTTCAGAGCTGCAATGTACCCGGTTTGAGCGCCAAAGCTGAGAATGGACTCAGTAGTGATATTGAAGCGTTCGTTGGCAATCTTTTGGATGGTGTCTCCCGGAAGGATAGTGTACACGTGAGGACCGCCGTAGATACAGTCTGATGTCGCGTTGGTGTTGTTTGTACTGAGACACGAGTAGTCGTCTGGGAACGTGGCACGGGCCGGAATGCGCAAAGTCTCGTTCATGTAGAGGAAGTTCGGGTCGGCTAGCACATTGAGTCGTGCCAGGTCACAGGCACCAACCCCGTATTTGTTAGCAATCGTGTGGATGGTGTCGTTGGCAGTGACGTTATAGGTGATATTGCTAGCAGTGACAGCGAGGTTCAAGACAGTTCCTGAGCTTGGAAGGACTAGGTTGCCTCATCAGCTGGGGATGCCATTTTTGAAAGAGACGTCAATAATGGAAAACCGCACCGTCATAGTTCATAGAAGTTAGAGCAGAGGCTTGGGCTGTAAGCATAGGCACCAGCATCATTAGACTTCTCGTGGTTAGACGCATGACATCTGCTATCTCAGGGGCTTCTTTGATGTGTATGAAGACTTTTGTGCTCGTTGTCTACTTAACTTCATTGTTGGCTGTTCCTTAGGCGTATTTATACGATCTTTGATAGCAGTCGGACAAGTATCTCGGACTTAATATCTACATTAGGCTATTGATTTAGTTGATCAGCAGTGGTAGTCGAGCATTCACCAGAGCTCAACTAATTGTGGCGTTCTTGGCCACCAAAACTTGGTAGCGAAGCGCCATCTGTTTTGTACAAGCTCAATATTACCATACCCCGCTCATCCCACTCCATCCCCACATCCCACTCCCCACATCCAGCATTGTCGTTTGAATTTAGGTTCTTCCATTTGCTCCTTGACGGAAAGGAAGAGATAAGGAAAACCATTCCGTCGGGTGAGCCTACCTAAAATGGAACCTCAATGAGGCCAATAAAGCTATCTCCAATAAAAAGCGGAGGTAATTTCAAAATATTGCCTTGCCGCGCACTTTATCCCACTCAACAGGGCTCAGTCTTGACTCGACTTGCCCATATTGCTGTATTGAATAGTGCCAATCTACAGTCAGGCCTACCTACCCGCAGCCTCTCGGATTGTGTGACTACAATGAGGAAGAGAATGTGGGAAGTGCATGGAGGTGTGTGCGCAGCTATTATGGCCGGATGGTCTAAACTATCTACTAAGATGTGACCATCAACCACCGGCCACTGACCACCCCTGGGCCCTTGCATCGGCGATTAATGATGCCTTCATAAGCATTGAAGAGGGGAACGTACTGTAGTGTAGTCAACATGCACGGATCTTTGCGGCATGAAAACTATCAAGGACCACACCAGCCACAAAGACAATGCTAGTTAGAGCAACCCTCTGGGTATATGGCTAGAGAGGTGAAAATTCGACTCCGAAAGTACTATACTCACATTGACCTTCAAAGAGCGAAGGGACATTTTTGATTAATGAGACTATTGAAGCTCGCTACGTCTCGATGGTTGCTGCTCACCTACCTTTTAGAAGCAAAAACTAAGGCTAGGCTTTCCGGGACATATCGGACTCCTATAGGGGTACTTAAATCAGCTCTCATTTCCTATCTTATTAGATACATAGGTTGAGATTAGGCGTACACAAGGAAATAGATGAGTGGAGTACAGTTCAAAGATTTGGAAATGGTTCCATGATGAAAGTCTCTGAATTGTGTTCCTAAGGGAGTTTGGGGACTAATATCATTCTTCATGGATTGCACAAGCAGAGACACTGCAGAACAGCAAGTGCCCTCCTCATCATCCGTAATGGGACTAGCTCCTCCAACTTTCACGTGATGTATTCCAAACCAAACCGAGCAAACACCGGACAAGCCTGCCGGATACGGATACGGGATATGACGGAGTTCGTCCGGTCTCACCCCTCCTTCCCCACCATCGCTATCCCGCCCCATTAATTTCTTCTGCATCTGCACTGTCCAAAATCCCATACCCTCAGAAACTGCAGACCAGAGGTTCCAAGCGAGCAGAAAGAAAAAATGGCCGACGCACCCCCCTTCTTCATCTACAAGCTCGTCCCCTCGACGGCGCCGGTGCGCGAACCCCTCCCGGACCGGCTCCCCGTCAGCGAGCTCGACAACCAATCCGGCTTCATCCACCTCTCCACCGCCTTCCAGGTCCCCAACACCCTCAAGCTCTTCTTCAAAGACGAGCCCCTCGTGTATGTCCTGCGCATCCGCTACGACCAGGTCGAGCACGACATCAAGTGGGAGAATCCCGAGGGGACGGTGTGCGGGCCCCGCCCGACCGAGGGGTTGTTTCCTGTACGTGCTCTTTGCTTTCATGGAATTTAATACGTATGAGTTGGGGACGGAGACGGGAAATGATGATTGCTTACCTAGTAAGGGAATAATGATTGCTAACATGGTACAGCACCTGTATAACGGCCTCAAGCTGGGCAAGGATGAGGTCGAGAGTATATCGATTTGGACGAATGAGGATGGTTGGGATAGGGCGCTGACGCAGGCGAAGCCTTGGTTGTTGTATTGATTACTCGGTTGATTTGTTTTATGGGAGTAGGCGGTGGGCGGAAGGGATGTAATTATTACTGTTCTCTGGACGATTGAAGGGGACGGGGTGTAGGGACCAGGGGTCTTTAATGTGGGTAATGTACAGCGGGAAAGTGAGAGAGAGAGGATTATCAGGTCTTTCTTCAAAGGGTTTTTGTTAATGCCGAATGTGTTTCGCATCGTCATCCGGCTGACTGGAATCCATGATTCTCTAATAAACTGCCGCTGTAATCACTTGGGGGAAGACGTGCTTGCCAATGGTAACGAACTGTTGTTGGAAGCGAGACCTCCAAACGTTGTGGCTACGTAGATCAGGGGAGTGCATTGAGATCAAGCCGCGCACGTATGTATGCATGAGGCACGGCGGAGTAGTCCAACTCATGGCGTAAGCGCCCACCCACGTTCTATACTCAAGGGGAATGGAATCATTCGATCGAAGCCTTACTAAAGAAGTTGGATGTTACACGAATTTTGTTTGGAAGACATGTCATCTTCTGGAGACGAGCCTGCTTGACAGAAAGTGTTATACAAGATCTATTGATACAACCTGCTGGCAAGGCGGTGTCCGGCATTCCCACAATTGTTTGCTAATTCACCTGCGCCAGTTTATGCAGCGATTGATCAAGCCAGAGTATGCCGTCCAACAAAGATCACCTGTACGTTGCTCTCTATGTCCGCGGAGGCAAGGCTAGGATGCCAGGCAAGGAAGACACGTAAGACTACAGGCCCTACAACTTCAGCAAGACAGCTGACTCGAACAGATATCACTGGGCCGTACACATCGGACCCAAGAGTCCCACCGAACAGAGGCTTGGAGTCCGCTATCACGCCAAAGAGCGACTCACCGTGGAAGGCAAGTCCGAGTTCATCTTCGAAGAAAGCGAGGTCTCCCCGCAGATGCTACTTGTGCGCATCGCTATAGCAAAGATCTTGGACCAAGGCCGTGCAGTCGGGATTCTCCGCAGTACAGCCATCCGCCAGAATGCCCCAGAATGGAACTGTGTGTCTTGGGTCCAAGAAGCTCTGGGTGCGCTGAATGCCGATTCGCGAGCCCTGGGCACACGGATCCTCGACTGGGAGAGGGTGCGCGATGCGGCGATGGAGTATTGCCAACGAAAGAAGGACCAGCACCGCTTTGATGGGAAGGGGGATTTCGATATGGGTGCTGTTCCCACGTATGACCTGATGGTGGGGAGGGAGCTTGCTGTTTGAGTCTAGCAGGTATCCGAGAGTCACTGGGCAAGCATGTTCGGTTCCTAATGCTGTTGGGAAATGCTCAAGGATGATGCTCGGCACAACTTGATGCTTTTTGTAGATGGATCTCTGGTCGATACGTATGTCTGGGTGATATTGATCGCTTTATAGAATTAACCACCATGTTTCGTATGCTTTACAGAGAAGTGACACCTGAGTTGGGAGTACTGGCTTCTGTGGTTCGAGGTTGTCCGAGGCGGAACAAGACTGTGGCGTGCACACTTGTTAAGTATGTACCTCGGCATTTTGAGACATACTGACAGTCTGGGTATCTGTCCATCCACGGATTGAGGTTCTACAAGAGCGCGAAGTCTCACTGGAGTTCCGATTCCAGTGCTAATGCCTTGAACCCGAGCATCTGGAGTTGCGACGGATAAAGCGCCTCGGGGCTAGCGCTTGTCCAGAAATGGTAACTCCGAACTGAATTCACCGAGTGGCACAGAGATACGAGTATGGCCGGACAACCAAGAAAGTCCGGACTGGAGGTATAAAAATCCTAAGTCCATCTCAGTAGATGCGATCGATTTCAAGGCTTGGGTTCATTCATACTCAAGCGCACACAGCAAACAAGCTGCACCAAAAACAGACATCAAAGAACCACTACCCTCGTACATCTTGGTCAAGGTGCATCGACAATGGTAGCCGTGACGCTGTCATCTACGCTGCGCGAGCAGCATGTGGTAATCCTGGGTGGCGCATACGCGGGTCTCTCGACAGCCTTGAACCTACTTCGCATCTGTGACGGCACGATAACTTCCTTCGAGAAAGGCGGCAAGGGAGGAAGAGGAGGTCGCGGCGGCGGCGGTGGAGGTGGTCGGGGAGGAAGGCTCGGAGACAATGGTCGAAGACAGATGATGGCGCCTCAAGCCCCGCAATGCATGCCCAAAATTACCATCCTCGATCCAAGGGACGGGTTTTGTATGTCCCTCTCTGCACAGTCAAGAAATGTAGCAGAAGCCCTGACAGCCGAGTCTCGCAGATCACGCAGTCGGTACCCCCATGGCACACACAACAAAAAGCTACGTCGAGCACCCGTGGCGGACCTGGGATCAGATTGCGGAGCTGAAAAGACCGTCGGTGTCGGTCTTGAAGGGCACGGCGGTGCGAGCGGACCCGGAGACGAAAAGACTCCTCTATCTCTCGTCAGAGTCGAATGGGCAGCAGCAGCAGCATACGCTAGATTATGACTTCTTGGTGGTAGGCACGGGGTTGCGACGGCATTGGCCGACTGTGCCGGTTGCTACAACCAAGTCAGAGTATGCGATGCAGGCAGGGAGATATATTGACCGACTGCGGGCATGCGATTCGGTGGTGGTAATCGGTGGAGGTAAGTTGACTTCTAGTAGGAAGTTGGCAGGTTGTGGCTGATAAATCCAGGTGCCGTTGGAATTGAGATGGCAGCTGAAATCAAACACCGTTACCCAACGAAGCAAGTGGCTCTGGTGCACTCCCGTTCGGCACTCCTCTCGTCGGAGCCGGTTCCAACCGAGTTTCAATATCAGGTTCTGCAGGTCGCCCAGCTCGGTGGGGTGAACGTGATGCTGAAGAACCGCGTGCTGAGTGTCACGAAAGGACTTGGCAACACAAAAATGATCAAACTCGAGGATGGCAACCATCTCACTGCCGATGAAGTGATTTGGGCAACGTCTTCAGCTGCTCCGGTCACCGAGTTCTTGCCTCGAGAGGCTCTGGATGAGAAGGGATTCGTCAACGTGCTTCCATCGTAAGTGATTACATTGCGCTGCGAGATGTTTTGGTATTGACCTGAGCACTATAGAATGCAATTCGCAGCGAGCATCCCCAACAACCAGAGCCACTTTGCCGTTGGTGATGTGATCGCAACACCCGGAATTCGACTCGCCAAAACAGCCATCCGCATGGGACGTACGGCAGCCATGAACATTGCCCATATGATAGTATCTGCCGAAAGGGGTCACGGCTTGCAGCCAGACTTGGCCGAGATGCGGGGCCCCAACAAGGGGTTGAGCTTGATAATTGGAGGTTCCGGCGCGGCATTCGATGAGAAGACAGGAGCTATCTTCTGCGGCCCGGAAGTCAAAAACGGGATCTTTGGTGATGACATGGCACTTCATCGTAAGTATGGCCTTCTTAACAAGGGCCACGATGCTGATTTCTTCGCAGGTGCTTTGGGTGCGCTTGGCTTGCCGTTGAACCCATGAGGTTGCATGTCGCGGGAGAGTTAAGGGGTTAAGAGAGCGGGCTACAACGGGGGCTATTTCCATAGTGAGAATACATGTGTCTGCAGACCCGACGGGAAATAATCATGCTTGTATATAGATTATCGCAAGCTTTCTAGGACTTCAGCTTCTTGCGTCGGTATAGGGGTCTGAGAGACACAGTCCAGGAAGGAAGACTTGAAGCGGAGCGAATGAGGAGCACCATGATTCAGTCTTCAGCCAAGCCAAATGCACAAAGTAGGCCATGATGATCGCTCCAGAAGGGTGCTTCTTCGGCAGTCTTGGTTCGTGGGGAGCTGGGCGTATCCAAGTCGCCAACTCGTCTTGGTTCTAGAACCTGGATTGTAGACGCCTTTAACCCCAGGGTCCCCACTCGATCAAGCCGGTTAGGCGGATACGGTTGTTGCCCGTCAACCCCCCATGTGTAACCAGGCTCCTTGGGACGCAAAGACGTCCAGACATCAGTCAAGCCATTGAATTCAAGAAGCTCGTCGTCTTCGTCAAGAACGGGATTGAAATCACCGGCCACAAGCCCACGTCCCGCGGTGCGCAGAAGGGATGCAACCATAGATATTTGTCGAGGCCGGTGGGATGGCTTGATCGGCAAAGAATCCAGATGGACGTTCACTAGCCGAATTCGTGTCGCAGAAGATGCTTCATCCTTGGGGTGTGAAGGCACAAAGATGTCACAGCAGAGCGCATCTCGACCGAAATAACTTGGGAACCTGACCCTCCATATTGGGCCAGCAACAAGGTTGTGGGTCTTTGGATTAGAAGGTGCTGCGAAGCGTGCTCTGGACAGTAGAGTCACGGTCATAAAGGGTCGATCATTCCACGAGAGATCATCACAATCGCTTGAAAACCAGGACTCACGAATGCGCTCGTCATCCAGAATCTGCTGCAGGGCCGGCCTGGAGACCTCTTGAAGGAAAACAATGTCTACGGGGGGGTCTAACCGCGTGAGATACGTGATAATATCGGTAGCGCGTTCCTGAGCTTGAGAAGAGCCCGCATCGATGTTCCATGTCAGTAACACAAGATTTGATGCATCGCCCCCGCGGGTTGGCTCTGCATGGTCACTTGAATCGGCATCCGTTGGGGTGGGGATCCACTTTTGGGCAGGGTCGAATTGATACCAAGATTGAAATCTGGGATGCAGGTCCTCTCGATGGGGAAGCGGAGCCTCACGAGTCCAGGATAGTGTATTTGTCTGAGTGCGCGTGTTGAGATCCATAGAGAGAAGACTGTGGTGGTTGATAGTATATGTATGCACTGTGTCAGTACTGATGTAGATGCTGAAGATGTGTGGAGGGGAAGAAAGAAGAGACGAAGGAGTCTCAGGCAGCCAGCCTAGCCCAATGGAGAAGCCGTGCAGTCGGCCCGCTGTTGTTCCGACTCAGGCTTGCCTTAGTGCCTTGGTGCCTTGGTGTCTTGTGTTCTCGGGCCTTGTGGCCTTGCTGCCTGAGAAACATCCCGTCCCTCCGACCCAAATCTCATTGTCGCAACCAACCACGACTCTTCAACTGCTTCAACTCATCACTTCTTCAATCGCAATATCTCTATTCACTGATAACCATCTGCTTGTTCTTCAAGGCTTGAATTCCAAGTTCTCTGATTAATAGGACCGCCCTCCAAACCCACAACCTCATTCCTCACGTTCAGGGGCAAAGATTCGCTCGCTTAAACTAACCGCTTTTTAAAAGCGGACTCGCCGTCTTCTTGAAAGACCCGAAGAACCAACGTGTTTGAACTCATCGAGATAATGCCTTCTTTCAGCCTCAGTGGAGCTCCGGCTTTTACGTATTCGCTCCTTTCGACGGAGCCAGACCCTTGAGCAAAAATTCCTTTATAACCGATGGAGATCCACTCGCTACCCTTTAATTGACTTTCTCTCTCTGTCCAGTCCATCCCCTCATTCCCTACTGTTCGGTGCATTGTTGGCCTTCACAGACAGTCACTCTTTTCGTACTCTCTCTGTGAACTGATCAGTCATGCGGTCCTTCTCTCCTATTTCTGCTGCAGTGCTTTTGGTGCAGCCATTCCTTGCTGCGGCTGAGACCAAGGTGGTAACGGGGACTACCCAGTCATGCACATGGACTGACAACGCCTTGTCAAATCCTTCATTCGACTCTGGAGTTCTTACTCCCTGGGCTATCTACGATGGATACGGTACTGCTTCGATTGTCGCCGATGCCTCCGGCGACGGAGGCTACGTTGCGTAGGTGAGGCCTCTCTCGGCAATGGGCAACCACTGACGCACAAATGAACAGAGCAATGGTTCCCAGTTCATCGTCATACGCCGTATTATATCAGACCTTGACCGACCTGGTCGCGGGCGATACGTACTCGTTGTCTTTCGACTACAAGATCCAGTCCGCGACAAGGGCAGAAACTTGCAATTTCTACTTCGCCATCGACGGCATCACCGCAGCAAGCCGAATCACGACAACGGTCAATGGATATATTCAATACAGTACTACTGAGACCGGTTGGCAGACTCTATCGACTACCTACGTACCCACGAGCAGCAGCCTAGACATGTACATCCAGGTGATCTGCAGCTCCGGAGTTCGCGGCATTGCGGCTCAGCCGACCATCTACGTCGACAACACGCAATTCTCCAATCCCAACAGAGAAATCGAGATCTGCACGGATGTACCCTATACCTCTACCATCACGCTTCTTCCCACTCCAACCGTGACTCCCACGTCGACGCCTGTTGTGACTCCTTCGCAGGCCGTGACTTCCAGCGCTAGTGTGATTACGGCAGCATCATCCAGCGTCATCGCAAGCGCGATCTCCTCGCCCCAGCCGTCCGCTTCTTTGCAGGCATCATCCTCCATAGTGCCATCATCTATCGTGTCGATTCACGCCGCATCCACCCCCATCATTCCATCGAGCCAAACCATCTCTACATCCCAGACGCCTCAATTGTCCGCCCCGTCCAACCCCCCAACGACTTCCCCCGCCGCATCTGCGTCCACATTGATCCACTCGAGTTCTGCTGCCGCGCCATTCTCGTCTACTATATTGTCAGTGCCGGGGTCAAGTTCAATCACTCGTTCTGTGACT